AAATTTCGTAATATGTCAGGGTTAAATGGGGAGGGGCCTATTAGATCATGCAACATGGACTGTGCTTCGCAAATTACGTAAGCTCTTGTCACAAAATTTTCCGTTCGTCGCCATATTTTGTCAAAGATCAGGAAACTTTGTTAAACTCCTTTAAAAATGTCTAATCGTCCTACAGAAATTGACCTAGTGGGTTAACGTGGCAAAATTCTATTTGATCCGGTTTTCTACCTGTTGACAAAATAAAATATAATTTATTGCACTCTGCAGCGATTACCCGTGGAGCTACAGGCCTACAGCAGCTCACTTTTAGAGGCAGTAAATGAACATTACAGATTATTTAACGTAAGAATGTACACATTTTCCCAAGGTTGTGTACCCCAGTCAAGTACACCTTCGGACTTTTGGTATCTCTGTTAAAGTGGTTTACTTTACCCACTGTCACTGTAAACTTGTTTCAGATAGCAGTAGACTATGACCTTGTGGTAACGTTTTTTTTTTAAAATCCCCCCCACTCTTAGTTTCCGCTTTGTTATCGTGTTCTAAACGTCTCAAATGGCTTTGGTTATATAGCCCTCTAACGCTCGTAACTCGTTTAACGTCCTACCATAAATTGAAATACATAAATAGAATCATTAATTCTTAGAGTAATCTGTGTACGGTAAATAGCATGAAATGAAATGGTAGACACAAATGGGAATGGATGTGGAAGGAGAAGGAGGATGTTTAAGATGTGGAGAGGCTATGAAGTGACAGAACTCTGTCGAGATATACAGAATCAGTTTCCAGGTGTTAACATACTAGAGTGATCGAGTCAGGCGGGTTGAGGTGAGACAGACAATTAGCACTCACGAGAGGCACGTGACAAATGCAAAAACAGACATTTTGGTAGGAGGGAAGAGGATATTTGGAAGACCTAGAAATAGACTAGGGAAGATAATATTAAAATTGATGTTAAATAGGGGGCGAGTACGTAAACTGGTTTTATCAGGTTCAGGATAGGGACTAATGTAGAGCTTTTGTGAACACGGTAATTAAAATTGGGGGTTTATAAATGTTATTATTTTGTTTTGTCGTAGTTTTTTGTTCATTTTAACCAGATACGAGATCGCTGACTTGAAAAGTAAAAACATGTCGCAACAGGTTTCAGTCGAGAGAAGTTTTGAATGGAACTGGTTTTTAAACGGAGAACATAAATACGTACTTAGAATACTTAGACGACCAGTTTTTCAGTGCCTTGAGCATCTGCGGGTCCCAACTTTTTCGTAGGCTTTGAGCTATTAGACAGTTGGTAGGACTCCTTGGACGAGTCAGCACAAGTAAGTTTTACTATATCATTATATTGAGTAATTGTGGATTTTTTATCGCTATGGGAATGATAATGTAGCTACCCAGTTAGGCTACATACGGGCGTATGCCTCTACACGGAGATACGAGTAGTCTGACAGTAGCGTTAATTATGTAGTTTCACCGGTCCATCTGCACGTCTGGTGGTATGGGATCAGAAACACACAAAGCAATTACAGTATCGTATTAATTCCGGAACATTTGCATCCAGAGCTTTTCTGGACTGCTTTTTTCCCGCAAATAGGCTTCTGCGCACAACAATATCTGCGTGATTATGCCTTCGTCTGTTTCAGTTGGATTGTCGAACCGAACTTTGTATGTATTTCTAGTAACTTTTTCCAGCGACTTGGCCTACGAATTGAAGACTCCAGTCCTTCTTGAAATAAAGTTCACAGTCTAAGAAACTTGTATTTACGTAACTATGTCACTTCATATGTTTTGTGATCACATCAATGAACTTTGCTATTATGTGCCCCCAGATGGGATAATATTTTTATCGCGAGGGGGAGTAATATTTAAACGTGACGAAAGGAGGACGGGTTAGCAGAATTGTTTTCTGACGTAAGCATTAGTGAAAATAAACAATGCAGTTTATTGGGGTCTTTCAAGATACAAATACCTAGTAGATATTTTTAAAGAGAGGTTTTATGTACATATTTCTGAATAGTTTTAATAATGTACTTTATACAAAACTTTCTCCCACTGGCCTGATGATTACTTCATGGACCTGAAACAAATAAAATTAACTCCATTACACATCTTAAGTGGGATACATGATGAAGTTCATTGTCATTATACTGTCGTCTTATTAATTATGTACCTACGAATTTAAATTAAATCCACGCAATAAGTCAATATCGTCAGGATAAATTGATTCCTCTCTATGGCAAACATCAGTCATTTTAGATTGTTACATGCACAGATGGTGAAGGTGGGAAACATGACCCACTCTCTCTGGATGTAACTAAAATTTTGTGATTGTCGTCTAATATTTTAAGGGTGATTGAAAAAATAAGTGTGAGGGGTGGGAAATGTAGAACGCATGAGGAAAATGTGAAATACGTACTCAGTTTGAATATGAGAATGTTAGTTGAATCACCGTATAAAGTAACTGGGTTTGTATATTATTAAAGTGGATCTTAGATACTCGTAAATAAAAGGAGTTTAACTGGTGCGTTGAAATGGAGAGGTTTTGTAAACACAAAGTTAAACGTCTGGTTTTCATAAAGATACGGAATTTCTTGACAAATTATGCAACTCTGCGCTATGCGCTTTAGTTCATTTCGTATTAACGCGAATGAAGATTACGTATTTAAAACTTGCAGTTCAGCAAAAAGGAAATGCTTGGATTGTCTGTGTATATTGTGAGGCTTTTGGAAAATGGTCCCAGTGACACGTACTTGTGAACTTATGTTGATATCAGACAGACTAACTAAGTCGTCAGTCAATAGCATTTCGTAACGAGGGACTTCCTGAATTGTGCGTCACGCAGTATTACCAGGATCGTAAACTATGCAGGAACAGAAGGCGTGACTTATTCGCGGAGAAAAATTACGTAGGCTATAGTTTTTGCGTGTGAAATTAACTGTAAACGTCCGCTTAAAAATTCGAAAAATAGCTGAAAGATGGTTCTTTGAGAGACGGGTTGTAAACATAATGGTTAGGATATTCGTCGATGTTTACTGTTTTAACTAGGAACTTAGTTAATCCCTTGCTATTCAGAGCTCACCTGGACATGTGGAGGTGTTCCCAGAACGTATATCACGGCGTCTACTACGTCTTGCGGTTCGAGGTAAGGGTGGTCTTCGTGAGGATCTGTTAGTCCTGATGTTTCACGCATGTCCGTACGCACAATTCCAGGGCTCACACTCTGCAAAGTGCCAGAATTTATGAAAATTCCAGTCTTCTGTGTGACTCGATGCTAAAAAATATCCTGTCCAGTTTAACTAATGTCGTTATGCGTCTCTAAGGCAGCATTTCTCACTCGATGTTCCGAGACATTTTTTTTTTTATTCAGAGGCGTCTCGATACATCGAGCAGTAGATCACAGGGTCTGGTAATACGAGCATATTTTCTTTATTTCTTATTTCTGTCGTTTTACCAATCATTATTCTGTTTATATGTTAAATTTTTACTGCCTTTAACAGTTCATTATACTTCTTAGGTATTACAGTTATTGCAGAATAGCAGATTTTTAAACTTCTGTTATTATTAAAAAATTTCCCAGTTTTTCGTTTCTCTTCTCTCTCTCTCTCTCTCTCTCTCTCTCTCTCTCACCAGACATGAACTGAGGGTCCCTGATTGAGTACTGACAACTGGCACTCACCGTGAGCCTTATTTTGGAATTCATCTGAAGAAGTTCCCGTCTGAGTCCCTCTGTTAACGTCAAGTTAGCTGCTTTGGAGGCTGCATACATGTACATTGGCGTGTTTGTAGGAGGAACCACATGACCTGTAACACTGTATAACACACGTGTTTACATTTTGTAATCATCAGTCAGCCGTCACAGCCGAGTGTTTGGTACTCCTACTTCGTATTCAGGAGGTTCTGGATTCGAATATGGCCCTGGATAAGAGCAATCCTAACTGAGGTATTTTGTGGATTGTCTTACTCCCTTTAGACAAAGAAAATAATTCCACTTTGGTGTGTGTGCGTGATCTGCCCGCTTCCTGCGAGCGGGCTATCACAACGGTACTATTCATACACGTTTATATTCCGCAGACTCTACAGGAAAATTCCCTGACCTAACCTTAAAATAAGCTACATTGCGTGCTACATTGCTCACTCATCTTAATCTAATGATTTTATCACACTAGTAACATTGTCTCGTGTTATCTTCCGTGTCTTTAATTAACTGTATTAAAGCTCTGTGACGTTATGACTTAATATTTTAGTCGAAACTTGCCTGTTGATATGCACAATGTGTCCATCGTCCACTCCTCTCTCCTTCATGGAATGGATCGCTTCTTTGGTACAGATGGAAAGTCCCAGAACGTTCACGTCCAATATATGCCTCCAGTTTTCAATCGGACCATCTGAGAACAGTAAATATCTTAATTTTGCTACTATAATTTAATAACTGACTGTGATAGTGTTGCAGTGTACAGTAGCTTGCAAGCTTATGGCGGAAACACTAACCTGCTTTTAATCTATGAGATTGCTGGTTTGTCTGTATTCAAACATACACAGAGTATAATCTATAACTAAGGTTCTTTGACATTATGTACTGTACGTACCTCCAAGCAATGACATGTTAAGACAAGTAAACGTGCTCTTGTCACGTAGAGGTATAGAAACAAGAAACATGTACAAAATTTTAATGAGAAAGTTTTGGGAATAGGAAGGAAGATAATATTAAAATAGACCTCAGGTAACGGTTGTGAAGGTGAGTGATAGTCGTAAATAGGGAGAGTGGGGCATGACAGTGATCCCACCGATTAATGTGTTGGCGCTGGCAACTCCCGCGCTGTTGACCAGAACATCCACTCCTCCCAAGTTCCTCTTGGCCCACCTGAACACGGAAAATACTTCGTTGTGCTGCGTGATGTCCGCCTTCACCGGGTACAGCTGACCCGCTGACGACCTTAGGGACGCCGACAGGGCCTGTGTGGCACATCATTCCAGTTTCAGAGGCTGTTGGTCTCGTAACCTTAAGATTTTCTCGGTTAAAATATTGCGATCTAGGAACTTCGGCACAAAAATAATTTCCCTCGGTTAGCCAGATTAAGACACGCATCTTGCGTTAGTCTGTCAGTTTGTAAACTAACCTCAATGTTCTCCACCCTTCGTGCCATGCCGACAACTTTGAGCCCTTTCTTCACCAGTTCCTTAGCAATGGCAGCTCCTATCCCAGAACTGGCTCCAGTCACCATGGCAACACGACCTGCCCACCGATGCATTGTCGTACTATGAACAGAAATGATGACCAGTGCAGGTTCATAAATATTGTGCGCTCTTCAGCGCAAGAACGGCATACATCACATATTCTCGGTAATTGAACTGCACAACAGGGATTATTCTGCCTATAAATAGATAGTGACTTGATTAAGCGATAATATGCACTGAAAAATAAGCGAATACTCCGTGTGTGATTGGCTGGTTGTCTATAATTCCCGGCTGCACGTAGATCTCCTAACTTGCATAACAATGACGAAATCAGGGATCGTCCCTGGAACAACAACCGATGATACGAACTTGTTACCAGAGGCGAAAAACGTGTTCATCGGCCGGTGGAACACTTCTGATAATTGGCCGTGAATAGACCGATGATACGAACTTGTTACCACAGGCGAAAAACGTGTTCATCGGCCGGTAGAACACTTCTGATAATTGGCCGTGAATATCTTAAGTGAGATTCGTAACCTTTTAAGAGTGGTCAATATCGAAACACCTTAAGGAAGAAAACCACTTCGAAGATCTGAACTTGGATGGGAGAATAATATTAAAATTGGTCGTGGAGAAATAAGGCCTGAATTCTTACCTGAATTAAACTGACTCAGGATAGGGTAAAATGATAGTCTTTACCAAACATGGCGGTGAAAGATCGAGATATTTTCGGCTTTTCTATGAAGATCCTGTATAACTGTGTTAGATCTGTAGTTCCGGAAGTTTTCTTAAGCGTGGTTAAAAGACAAAATATAAAACCGAAAGTAACAAGGAGATGGTTACCTGACTCGTTCGAAATTTTTTCGTGTTACTCAATGCAAGTGTCACGGGAATATCACCAGGGTAAAAACGTCGAAATCGACCTTTATCCTGTGCACGTCACGCTCTTTTTCCACACCCCCGCAGAGGTCAGAGTGGACTCGACCAACTACACTGCACAGCCAGCAATTATTGGCTTCGATAAAATAATTTGACTGCATTTAAGGGCAGTCTGAAACCTTCTGCATGGAACCCGACCCCTTCCTCAGAAGCCAACAGTCGCAAAGCCACTCTGAAAATTCCCAACATTTTATGGAACCCCCGAATGGTTCATTACCGTGACAAGAGTCTGCCACTTACACCTATACTTAGCCATATTAATCCAGTCTTACCACCCTATCTTAGATCCATTTTAATATTATCCTCCCACCTACGTCTGAGTCTTCCTAGTGGTCTCTTTCCTTCTGGTTTGCCTACCTAAAACCTGAATGCTTTCCTCTTCTCTCCCATGTAGGCTACATGCCCTGCCTATCTCATTCTATTTGGCTTGATCAGTCTAATTCTATTTGACAAGGAGTAAAACTTGCGAATCTCCTCATAATTCAACTTTCAGTCTGTGTATCTTGTCATCGAAAATTACATTTAAGTCAGGTTACTTGTAACAGACCGATGGAAACCGTACATATAAAATCAGGTTTACTCAGCTATAAAACCGTTTATGGAAGTGAGTTGGGGGAAAAAAAACAAAAACCTCTTTTTCTTTGGAAACTTTGTTTCTACGGGTGTCCATCGTTTCGCGAAATGTTATGGTTGGTTTCTCTTGCAAAACACCAGTGCTATAAAAATGAAGTTAATGGCTGTGGTTAGGCGTCACACGCGTAAGGTATAATGGAGCTTCTGGGTGAAGTACCAAGCATTTGAGACGTCCCTGTAAGATGACAGAGAGACTGAAGGCTCAGTTGGTCCATTCCAAGAAGTTGGTGATGATTATGATGACTATTATTGTTCAAAGAACTTCGTGGTATCTTTAAGATAACCGGCTGAGGTATCGGCTAATAACAACATTGTTATCAATGAGTTCGTTGACTCTGCTCTTGTTAAAGGTTCATTATGCTTTTGTTCCTTGGCTCGTGTTGTTATGGATTCGCGATCTTATGATTCCACCAATCAGCATTCTGGACTGTCCGCCTCGAAACAGCATTTTCCAATAGTCACGTCTTATTTTGAGCACGGCAATGAACCGCCAGGTTCCATAAAATACAAGACATTTTATTCTAGCGATGTTTAGACTCTCTGAACCCCTGAGTTGATTAATTAATTAATTAACTACCTGCATCAAACATAATTAATACGAAATTTACTTGTACGTTTTAACTGTACCAGACATACATTTTAGAACACTTATCACTAAATTATGGCAACAAATGTATGTGCTGTATTAACACGAATTGTGGTTGCTTTGGTATGTGAAACATTAGACGTACATACCTTGCTGTAACAAAGCAGAGTACAGAGCAGAACCTCTTGACAGCTTCCGTATCAGCGTAACACTGACTGCAGACCGAGATGAATAGCACTGTAGACTGGACCTTATCTCGGTGAGAAAGTTCATACTCGCAGGCAACTGGCATTGATTCTCGAGTGCCTGTTAGGATAATGGCCATATTAAATGCTTACATGGGATTAAACCAGTCACCGGAGGCAACAAATTATCCCGTTTGGTTCCTATACGAGCTTAAAGACCTAGTAACATATCGTTTCTCTCCTATCTAAACTTTGGAACAGGAAACGAATTTATAGGCCTAGTGTTCTTTGAGACATAATTAGATTTATAGAATTCGTAGTGAAAATTCAGCAATTCCAGCATTCGACGAATGTAACGTTAGAGTAGTAGACAGACTTGATTCGTATTCGGGTAGTCCCAGGTTTGAATCTCGGTCCGGAGATTGGCTATTCTGAGCGAGGTTTCCGTTTGTGATTTTACAACGTACATCTAGTCGAATGCTACATGGTACCTTACATTAGACCACGGCCACTTCCTTACATATGTGTTCTAATGCCTTAGAAATGTTCGTTAATAGGTGATTACTTTTAATTTCACTGTAGTTATTCAGTAAGAATTTTTTTTCTTTTGTGGGTATATTATTTGCCGAATTAGGCTGAACGTCGAATTGGATTCATCCGATGAACACACGTCTGCTGTTAACTAGATTTCAAAGCTATTTAGTACTCTGGCTTTGTTCATTATCTTGCATTTTTATCTCTCCCTACAGATTATGTTATCGATTACATTGTTTATTTTCGGTTGGACTATATTGGTTTAAAATTTTAATTTGTTGCGTTTGCATCAATTTTATAGGGTTCCAACCTTTTCTGTACAGTTACTATTTTACAAACCCTCTAACTACGTGCAAGTATTTTCTTATCAAGACTCATGCTATAGCTCGGGTAAAAAATTTAAAATTAAAATTAAATCCGTGGCGTAACAGCCCTCTGAGAGCCAAAGCCGACTAGCTTGACTGCCGGCCTCACGTTCACGAGGTGAACGATCATCCAACCAGATATAGGGTATATGGATGGAAACTGGCTTCTCATCGCCGAGACCCATTTCAGTCCCTAGACTTCAGATGAGATTCGTGGTAAGAGAAAATGATACTGTACCAGGTTTCTCTAGCTTTCCTTCCCTTTTACCCCTGATGATCATCACTTCGCCATCGCTCCATCCTATCACCGCTAGATGTGCGATAACCTTAGCCAACCAGCACATTTCTTGCTTTATTCTTCAGTATCATAATGTATTTTTGTAAAGCCACAGATAGCTGTTTGCACTTGTCTCCTCGAACATCAGATACATTTAGACTAAAGGAAATAATATTTGAGCCTATGTCTCCCGCACAGAATGTAAAGGGCAGTCTCTAAGAACACGTATTTTTATAAGACGGTGAGGAATATGACCCAGTCTCATCCTAGGTGATAAAGCAACACAAGTCCCTGTTGATTAAACAGCCGAAATTAGCAGATCAGTTCTTGTTCACAGTAAACAGCCCTCCTATACGGCGTGGTACTGTTCCATCCCATACAATCTAATCTTGTTGTCACTGTAATCTTGTTTTCGTGTTGAACATAAAACAGCTTTTACAGACTGTTGAATCATACAGATGCAAATGTTTTATTAACTCCTTACAGCCCGGTGGTAACTACATGTACCACGTGCATCAACAATCAACAACTCTTCATTACGTCTATAGGATTTATTTATAAGTTTTATTAGATTCTCAGAGTAAACAGCGATTATGAATTGATAAATTTATAGTTATCTTGGACACGTTTTGTGTTTTCTTTGAGGTTAGAGCGGAGTTCTTAAGTATTATTAACCCTTTGAAGCCGAAGATCGTCTGAATATTATTTATGAATTCAGTCCGTACCGCGAAGAAAACACTACACCTCACCATTACGAAAATCAGCTGGTTAACCCTTTGAAGCCGAAGCTCGTCTTCATAATATTTACGAATCCAGACCGTACCGCGAAGAAAACACTTCACTTAACCATTAGAAGTCGAATCAGGCGGTACCACATAAGATTTAACAAAAGAACATCCCGGTCAAACTCTTAAGACAAGATTTGACTTCAGAATGTTAATAGGCAATATAATAGTTGGAAAGGCGAAGTTAAAAACAAACGATGTATGCCTATAGGCTATTCACTGCGATTTTCTGGGTTGTAACATTTGCGGTCCTGTTAGTGTTATGCAACATTTCTGAGAAGGGTATATTACATATTCACCTTGAGGATGGAGGCGATGTGTTGCTCAAAAATGTTCAAATCGGGTACAAGACATGTTTTTACAATCCAGAAGGCCACAATCGACATCATAACCGCTGGTTCAGAACTTAAAATCTCATACAAGGTTTCAAATTAAAACAAAAAAAATCATAAATACATGGAACTGCATGCCGCCTTTATTTAGACACGTGTTCTCGATTTATACAATTCTCGTTTTTCATCATGTTTACCTTCCAGAGACTGATTCTGGAGTTGCTAGAAAGTCTCCCCAACAGGTTTAATGGTGAGTTCATGAATCTGAAACACACGAAACTCGACATAATTAATTCACTGCAGTCATTATAATGAAGTACGAATCAAATTTGACACTTCATAAAAATTGTGAGATTTGATAGTCTTCACGGTGGTGAGGAAGGCGATGGTGGTGTTCTGGGTTTTGACGCCGTGTAGATTCGTGGGTAGATACCGGAATTTCGGAGAAGCATACCGTCTCTATCTTCAGGGCTCAAGACTGCGTCAAAACCCATAAGAACAATAATGGGAGACACAAATCTCATGGGAATGCGGAGATTCGATAGGAAGGCGAATGTCACAAGAACATTGGTATTTTTAAATACGTTCCTTGAACTTTAAGTAACGATCAGAGATGTGATCGGTTGGACATGTAGCAAGAATTAGAAAAATTTCTGTCTTCTGGGTTGTTGCGCCGTGTAGTCTGGTCGATGTTAACCAACGTTTCAGAGGTCATACTGCCTCCGTCATCAGGGCAACAACTCAGAAGACAGAAATCTTCATACTCATCGCTGTGAAAACCTCAAATCTTACAAGAATTAGAAAAATTCTTAACACACTTTTGATTGGAGAATCTAACTTAAAGGCGTGAGGTTGGGTGGAATTGTAGAGGGGGAAAACACTGTGACAGTATGAACTGGATTCAGCTGGCTGTGGGTAGAACGGGTGTAGGTACGTTGCGCTTTGCATGTGGATGTTAATCGCACCTGTACATGTTGAGGCACTCCGAGCGAGTACAAAATGGCGTCTGCTACGTCCTTTGCCACCAAGTGAGGATGGCTACCGTAAACTTGTTCGGGGTCGACAGGTCTTCCAGACGCGGCCATGAATTCTGTTGCTACCATCCCAGGGCTCACGCTCTGGAAACATATTTGTGGCCACACGTGAGTGCAGTGGACACAGCGTGGACAAGTTTGTAAAAGTGTCCGGTCTGGAGTACATAAAATTACAGAGGAGTTCTTTACGCCACATCACGAGTAGGATAACCAAGGGACCAACAAATGCAACAGTTTTAACCTTAATAATTTTTACAGCAATATGGTTTAAGGTATTTGTTGGAACAATGTTACGATATACATGACAGACAGTCGGACATGGACAGACCCGTTATTCGCTTAAGCAAAGGTCTAAATAACGTCTAAAAATCTGCTCGTTTCTCGAGAACAGCTGGATGGACTTTGTTTAAATTTCGTATCTGAGATCCTTTATCATCCACCAGTTCCGAATTTCGTATTTGAGGTCCTCTATCATCCACCACGTCCGCTCATAAGACGGCATAAGACGTTGTAATTCACGAGCTGAAAATCTAGAGGTACTAGGAAAGCGAATTTACCATATTTGTTATCCTTGTCAAGTCCGTTAATATCGTACAAGTGTTTGCTGCAAAATCACGATTTCCGCACCTAATACCACGGAGGAATTTTACTGAGTAGATTTTGGATAAATAAATCTCAAAGCTAGGGACTACCTTGAAGACATCGGTACAGACAAAAGTGCATCATCACTTTACGATGATATGACACTCACAGTGACCCTTATCTTTGAGTTCTGCTTAACCAGTTCTCGACGAAGTCCCTCAGTCAGCGCCGTGACGGCGTGCTTTGACGCACAGTACATGTGGTCGACAAGATCAGAATGTGGGATCGTGTGACCTACGATGCTGTGGAATAAAGCATAAAGAAAGTCCAGTTAGTTTCAAGAAATGTCGCATTAACCATAAAACCCATTACTGGGGATCTGAAGGGACAGTACATTGAAAGCCACGAAAAACTCCCAGGCTACAGATTAATTAATTTCTCAGTGCAGGAGTCTACCTGTTGATGTGGACGATGTGTCCGTCGTCCACTCCCCGCTCCTTCATGGACTTGAGCGCTTCCTTGGTGCACAAACTGAGACCCAGGACGTTGAGATCAAAGATTTTTCTCCATTTCTCCACTGGACCGCCTAAAAACGTAGTTTCGATTACTTTAATTCACATGTTTCTACGACACATTTATAAAATTAACGATAGACAAATGAAATGTCGTGCAAACATAATTAGGAATGTATTCCCAAACAGATATTTCCATTCAATTACACCTCATTAGCTTTGGTGTCCATTTATTGGATAAGTAATTCTTTTAAAAGCAACTGCGGTTAAGAAAGCATTACTTTACGTACTTATGAGTTTGCTGTTGCTAGCGGTTCCGGCGTTGTTGATGAGAATATCGACTCCGCCAAGTTTCGTCTTGATCCACTCGAAGGCCGCCTGCACTTCAGACTCTTTCGTAACATCGCATTTGAGAGCATACAGTTTGCCAGGCGCGGATTTCAGGGACTCGGCTAGCTCCTGAAAACCCAAACGAAGTACAAGTTTCGTCCATAAAGAAGCAGAATATGACAAGGGTTAGCTTTCTTCGTAAAGTGACAAGCTAATGACTGGACTTCCGAGGCTTGAATCTCGGTGAGAACATTCGATACTGACTCTGGGGCCCAATCTAAGCTGTGGATGGATACCAAGGGGTTTTCCTTGGGTGTTTACGACTGTAGTGTTCGAACTCGTTCACTCACCTGAAATTACTGCCGAGATCTACAGTGTGCAGAGATTTTCATTCATGTCTCCAAATGCTATGCTTTTATGGCGTGACGATTAGAGGCAGGCTAACTCTATCTTTAACCATTTGAAACCTAAATGTTTTTAAATGTTCTTCAATCTCTAAAAGTTTATCGTTATCCTGAGGGGAAGTTAAGTTTATCATAAAAATATACTAGTAAAGAAATGTGTGGAAGAATCGAAAGTGGGTTATGGTTTCAAGTGTGTAATAAATTAAGGCTTATAGATAATATTAGAGTGGTAACACTGTCTAACCTCGATTTTTTCCACTCTGCGCGCCAGTCCGACCACTTTCAGACCTTTCTTGACGAGTTCTTCAGCAGTAGCAGCTCCTATACCAGCACTGGCTCCTGTTACCAGGGCAACACGACCTGACCATCGCTCCATTTTGTTCTCGGCACTGAAACAATATTAAGGACGTTCTGAGATGTTTTGATACCAACCTCTTTTCTGTGCCTAACTAACTAAATAGCCGAGTACATGTGCAATTTCTTTATTGTAAAGTCGATTGCTACTCATCCAGCCAATAAATTTCCTGCTTATAAAGAGTCAGAAGGTTAGGAGACAATCCTGTCACTGTATTCTGTGCAGGACTCAGGGACAATTCAATGCGTTCCTCACGTTGCGCGATAAGGGTGAACATATAAAGATAAGCCGAGTTTGAAACTCGGGACATCAGTACCGATGTTGTTGAAGGATTTCTCTTGTTTGTTCTATCTATATGACTCAGCTGCTTGTTATGGAGCTCTGTCTCATAAGGCATACACACCATGTTACTTTATTTGTGTTATTTGTGTTACATAACATCGTTGTGTTTGTTTACCATTTGCTATGATGCAAGGTCGTACAAATAAAGACCTGAATTTTTTTTTTAAGGCGCGTGCACAAGACAGAAATATTTTGATTTCGATCTCTTCGTGTAATGGCCGAACGTCAGAGCCTTCTAGTTTTTTTTTCAAATACCCTCGAGGTTCTGGGTTCGATTACCGGCCGGGGGACGGGCTGTTCTGTTAGATTTCTTTGTGATTTGCAAATTACTTTTTGGAATTATCTCCTCAATAAGACCTGTGCAGTTGCTGTTTAAACACTTTTTATGAAATATCCACATTTCCTCGTCATACAAGATTGTGACTGGCACAAGAGAAGATTTATGAAAAAAGTAGTACCAACTTATCAACGACTATTTGAAAGGAATTAAAATGTCTCAAACTAAGTTTGTTTATATGATAGAGTGACGATTTTGAGCCCGCCACGTCACACAATCAACTCGCCTCAGATTGCAAACTTATAAATGAATGTCTTGAACAGGGGTGATTATCACGTAATTATTTTAAAGCTTAAACAGAAATATTCTGGATCTAAACAAATTTTAAAAAAATCAGTTTATGAATAAATTAAAATACGGTGGCAGTATAATTAGGCGTACTTATCTACAGTTGGTACACATAATCCATAAAATCCTCTCTAACCTGTTAACGAAGCCACGATTATATTACTGTGGACTGTTTGGCTTGTACCTTATGCAGTTGGATGTACAGGTATCTCTTCGATTTAAGGCGCACAACGTTTCCTCAGATACGCACTTGTGTCTCCTGCGAGCTCTACCAACTTACTGGTTACGTAAACCAAATATCATATCGTCTGTATCTGGCACAGCTCCATGACGATGACCTTGCTAAAAAAGTAGAATGCGATAACCCGCTCCTTTTTCTTTCAATTGCAACGGCTACATATTGCAGTAACTTACTTTAAGACAGGATGGTCTGTTAAGTGCCTGGCTTTCAGATCATCTGACTCTCTAATTGATAAACTCAGTGGCTTGCTCTGTCCCGGGCATGACGTTAAACTGCGTCCACAGACCGAGTGACCACCGGTATAAGTGGTCCCCCCTCTACCAAGTGCCAACAGCCTCTTCGGAGGGTGGAGGTTCAGGGCACCCTCATGCCCTTGGGATGAGAAATCACCCCTAAAGGCGGATGAACCCGGATGGGTCAGCGACATAGGATGCTGAAGGCAAGGGGAATCCATCGCATTAAAAATCCTCAGGATTTCCCAAGTATCAGGAGGTCAAGCTGCTGCCAACCAATCGTAGGATTGATTACAAAAGAAGAAGAAGAAGTGGCTGGCTGGCTGTCAGAAAAGCTGACTGCGTTGTTGCATAACATATTGACAGTGGCCAAAGACTTTAAAATTTCAACACTGATGTTACAAAATTCGCCAAAAAGTCCTTGTTTCAGTTCAGTCCCAGTCAGAACCTCAGATCTACATTCCCTAGGATCCATTTAAACTCTTGTCTATTTGCTGTCATACGTTCCGTCCACTTTTGAAGAGTTCTGCCAGATGCATAACATTCCTGTGCACGTGTCTGAAAGGTTAAGAGTTGTTAACTTCTACTTCTTCTTCTTCTTTTTTAGTTTTTTTATTCATTTTGTGTTTCCTTCACTGCATAAAATATGCACTTGTATAGACGTATTGAGACAGAAACCTGTCCAAGGAGAGTCGTAAACAATATTAGAGTACACTAATTTATTAACAATTTATGGTGAGAACATTTTTTGTCATACACAATTATTCCTTACTTATTAAAGATATTATGTTATCCCAATTTTATAAACCAGTGTATTTCAACATTATTTTAGGGTTGAGCACGTTCATTCATCGTGAAAACCAGAAACTATGATTTGTTGACTTATGCATTTCGGCCAAAGAAGTCGTGTCTTGTCCCTTTCTTCGTCGATGTCCTTCTGGTTGTGTAAGAAGCAAATATTAGAAATAAAGTAAGGCAAATACAATGCTTTGTGGGGTGCAAACCCCTACCCAGTAGACCTATGAATTATATTCTACCCTCTTAGCCATGGTTTTGACATTCTCTTAAATCGTTGGTCCGTTGGGCTTTATAATCAGCTCATGAATCTGAAACACAAAATTAATTTCGGCCTGGAATACATGACACATAGCAAAAACAGCTGGTCTTTGAAACAGGGACGTACCGAACACGAAAGAAGGGTAGTAACCAACACACAGGGACAACCTACGTGGAAGAGAAAAAATATGATAAATATGAAGGAAAGAAAGAAAATAAGAACATCGCAGGAAGTAAACAAGGAAACGAATGAATAAGGACCAAAGAATTGTATGTGACATACTCACTTGTACATGTGGTGGTGTGCCAAGGACATACAATACCGCATTTGCAATTTCTTCCGGTTCTAGGGAAGGCATGTTCTTAAAAGCTTCCAACATTTTTTTTGGAGTTTTGGAGGCTTCCGCAATTCCAGTTCTTACAGTTCCGGGACTGATACTCTGCAAGGTGTGAAGAAATTAACCATTCAATGATGCCAGTCAGGCCACTGCGTAAGTGCCACTACTCCGACGAAATGTACATTTATACGCACTGTGACACGGATCTTCGACTTGAGGTTGACCAGCTCACGACGCAGCCCCTCGGTCAGCGCGGAGACGGCATGTTTAGAGGCAGAATACATGAAGAACGAAGGGGGTATCTGGTGAGCTGTTTCACTAAATAAAACGTACTAGTCAATAACATATTAAAATAAAAAGTTCTTTGGATATTTGCCATCGTTTAGTAAAATAATAAAATAGAAAACGACGTTTCGGAGATGGTGCTCTATCTCCGTCTTCAGGTACCTACTCTGTTGGGCCCAATAGATAGACCTAATCCCAATCTCCTGTTTTTTTAACAAAGAATCTAGAGGATGGATGATATACAGACCGATCTTTATTTTAATTTTTATAGTGCGTCATTATTAAAAGCCTAAAATTATTATAATTATTGTGTAATAATTCTTAGAACTGGGAGTAAGTAGAATTACGTCATAATACAGATACACTCCACGCATCTCTTAGTTCGGATAGTGGTTTCCTGGGTTTTTGAACTATATGTACTAACGTTTCGGAGGAACAAGCTGCCTTCATCTTCAGAATGCACCTAACCAACGAGTCAATTGTCAATCCAATTCACGACATGTAGAAGTGTTCCACTGAACACCAGCCTACCTGCTCATATTTATTATGTGTCCATCATCCACTCCTTTCTCCCTCATGGACTGCAAAGCTTCTTTAGCGCATATACTGTAACCAAGTACATTCACTTCCATGATTTTCCTCCAGTTCTCTGACGGTCCATCTTAAAACCATAATTATTTATTGTTACAACTGTGCACAGTACATAAATAAACCATTAACTTTTTTTGTTTGTTCTTGGATTACTTTGGAGACATGTTTGCAGCCGAATACGTCATGTGACATCGAATGGGATTTATAATTGTTAGTTATAAATTGAAAGGAAGTATCTGTGGCATGTTTTAAGGAACTGTCATACCATTTGTCTGGAGGAACTGAGGAAAACGCAGATCAGTTGGCCTTTAGCCGTGTCTTGAGCACTTAATTTCTTACACACGAACAAGAGTTGTAACTCAGCTACTAGTACGTATGGTTTATTGGTCGAAGTCAATTTATGAGGTATAAGGTATGTCTTTCTTATTTTGAAATTACATGCTGTTGTATTCTATTTGCTATGAAAGGTTATGTAGTCTCCTATCTGAAAATAAATTTAAGTTATTCTGTGTGAATATAAAGCTTTTTCCCTGAGAGAGAAAAAAATTTGAGGATTTTTTTAAAAAATAAGTGTTTAAGGGAAATATTATTACACAAGTGGAAATATGTAGCCAGAGAAAGACAATGTGTTAAATGGTGAAAATGTTGTGTGACCTTCTCCAGTTATTTTTGTATAGTGAAACGAAACTCACTTCGTAGAAACGTGCGTGTGTACTCACTCACCTATGAGATTGTTGTAATCGGCGACCCCGGCATTGTTAACGTGAATGTCAGTTCCTCCAAGGTTAGACTTAACCCATTTAAAGGCCTCCTTAATATCTGATTCCTTCCTGACGTCACATTTGAGAGGATACAGTTTTCCTTGCGAGGATCTGAGAGAATTTGACATCTCCTAAAAATGTCATAAAGTCGAAATTATAACCGAAGGCCAAAATAAACTGTAGTCTAACACGTTTGTTCTGAAAGGACTATAAATATTTTAATGAGCTAATATTTTAGCCCACAAGTAACTGGCCTTGGAAACAAACAATTGAATTTAATTTATCAGAGAACTGTGTGGACTGTGATTTCAGTGAATTGCACTACTCTACCTCCATTCTTTGAACCTGAAGATCCAGTCCGACCACCTTGAGCCCTTTCTTGACGAGTTCCTGGGCGATGGCCGCTCCTATCCCAGAACTGGCTCCTGTCACCACGGCAACACGACCTGACCAACGCTCCATAGTTGAATTTCCCTTTGTACTGGAAACAAAAATTTTAACATAAAATTCTAAATTGTTTAAAGTTCCCGAATTTTGAATTAGTCCCTAGTTATATGTAAAAATATTCCGCTCATATTTTTCCTTCGGTTACATGTAAACATTTTATGTATTATTGAATAAAATAATCTTGTCTTCTATCATCATCTTCGCCTGAAGAGACACTTAAGCGTGTTTCATTTATCTTCTTGTTTCGTACCTTCAAACAGCGGACGTTACACGAAATGAGTTTGTGATACTGAACGCTGCATGATGTTAGCTGAATCTGGACTGGCCTGTGACCTCATTTGTTACGCATGCGCAACTGTTTCTCTCAATTTGATGAGAATCTGCTGTGTCATATTAAAACTTGAAACGTAATGTTTCTGCGAAGTAATCAGAGTGGCTTCATGTTATTATCAGTAAGAGCCTCGCCCATATCTCCGTGAGATACAAGAACTGTAGGTAATATATGACTCGCGAGCCGGAAGGGACCGCAAAGGAATTCAGTCACCCGGTGATAGCCCTATTAAATTTTATCAAAAATATATCCGGTCTTGTAATGTTTTCGTTTCTTATACACATCACACAGACTTTTCAACAAGTGTTTAAATTTTGGTTTCTTATTCTCTTAACACGACAATTTCTCTTCACTTGTAATCTTATGCTTTTAATGTTCTCTTAAAACACCAGAGCGAGCGAATTTTTGAAATGCGTACTTTGTGATTTTAAATTTATGATTGTACTTGATTTTCATTTGTTGTCGTTATAAATCCAGGGTATTATTGGGGTGTATGGGGTGTGCCGCAGGGGTAGCACCTTTTCCTCTGACGGTAGCGTCAAGCGATGGTCAGAAGGGTGACAGATATGGCGAATTTCTGGTAGGAGACAGCAGTCCTATCAACACTGTTTTAAGGCGGCCGAAGAATGACTTCGATACGGCTTAATGCAGACATCTCCAGCCGCGGTCAGAACGACTGTATCTGCCGGAATACTGAGGCGTAGAAGGACACTGGAACCTGCTACGCTATACTCCCATGAATACATGAATGAAATTTCGAGAAGACACTACATCATGTCACTACACGTCTGACAAGACGTTGGATTTCAGAGGGAGATATTGGAAACTAAACAAAAACCTGTTACAAAACGTATTACACTACAGAATTAACATTTCCCCCCCATATTTAGTTAAATGTCCCTGTGTCGAGAACTTGCACGCACAAAATTTCAGATCTCAACGGAGAACAGCCGTTAATGGTATACGACAATTCATTTTTTTTATCGTGATTCGTATTTAAGCAAAATATATAAATTTGAATTTGCTGTAACGTTAGGGAAAATTGTACCGATACGGACCGGAATTAGGACATTCGCTTTACCACACTTAAAAGAAATCCGTTTAGAAATTTCGGAGACATAAAATACAGACTGACGTACGGATACGCCACTTTATTACGTGTCCGTGAAATCATCAACGGTTTGTGATGTTGGTATAAGCTCTAATGGTGGCTGGATTTATTTAAAACAAAGGAACAACAGGCTAGTTCATGAACATACCTTATAAAAACACACATACGTCTTATTTATTATATTTGATGAATAAATATATATTGATTTATAATGCAGCGTTACATGTATGTCTAGCATATTTTTATGCTTATATTTAATATATAAAATAGGTCAGATGCAGACTTATAACGAAGAGGTAACATATTACTGCCACACATCAAAACAATTTTAATTGAGAGGCGTATAGAGTCGTGGCTGTACAGTTGTCTAGCTCCTTACTTCTCACAGCTCCAGAGTAGAATTTTCACATTGGTTCTCCAACAGGTTTTATGGTCAGCTCGTGGATCTGAAAGAAATATAATTCCTTCGTGCAAGTCAAAGTCAGTTTTCTTTAGGGGGGGTATTCGATCCTGTGAATATAAAAGTAAACAGCGATTATTTCCGTAAACTGCATCAACTAATCGATCTTTTTAATGGAGATGCGTTCTGTTATCTTTTAGGTAGGAGCTGAAATTTTAAATAGTATCTAGATGAGCTTCGACTTCAATTGGTTAAGTGTAATACTCTTACTTGAACGTGTGGCGGAGTTCCAAGAACGTACAAGATACAATCAGCCACGTCTTTGGCCTCTAAAAACGGATTGTCCTTGAAATCTTCCAACACTTCTTTTGGAATGCCTGAAGCTTCACCCAACTCTGTTAGTACACTCCCTGGACTGATGCTCTGTGAAAAAATCAGTACGTTCTTACCTCATCCTGAAAGGTGTACCACTCTATAAAACACCGTTTTTCTTACGTAGTTTTTTTACTCACAGTGACTCTTATTTTTGAGTTCTTCTTCACCAGTTCACGACGAAGCCCCTCAGTCAGCGCGGTAACGGCGTGTTTCGACGCAGAGTACATGTAGAAATTGAAAGGTGTTCCATGACCAGTAATGCTGTTCAGGTAGAAAGAAATTAATCTTTAATTAAACGCAAAAAATACTCATTAAAACGTTCAGAGCCGAGGAAATACAGACCTAAGTTGATAATTTAGTCTTTGATGTTTCACATTAGGAGAAGCTGTGAGTTATACGGATCCTATAATGTTGTAATGGCAGTGAAATCAAGACAGGTTTACAATGAGCTGGATGTGTAGCTCAGAGACATAATTCATGCAGAATTGTGGAAGGTAGACATTTTGGGAAGTCGACATAAGCGAATTGACATTAATGCGAATCTCGGGTACGTACAAGCAGTCACTATGACATTCCAGAACATAGGCGTTGGCATTCTGGACATTGCTTACCGTGTAATGTTATAGGCCTGTGTTCTACGTAGTGATAAAAGTGTCATTAAATAAACCAAGAATGTACAGACGCACCTGTTAATATGAATAATGTGTCCGTCATTCACCCCCTTTTCATTCATGATTTCCAGAGCTTCTTTAGTGCAAATACTGAGGCCCAGAACATTTATGTCTATGATGTTACGCCACTTCTGGACCGGTCCATCTGAAATCCAGAATTAGGCATAATTATATTTTAAATTTTATAAAGTTTATGTGGAGTTAAGGAATTTCAGGATTTCATTTCTTCTATTGGAATACTTAACAAAAAAACAGACAGGCCTGTATAGCTTAAGCGGGCAGTTGGTAGGCTAGGAAATAATGTAGCAGTATATGACAAGATATGTAAGCCTGTGTTATTCGTAAATAGATATCATATTTTTTTCCTAATACAAGGAGAGCTTTTTCTTCTCGATATTTCCTGAATAATTTACTGCTCATTGCATTTGCGCACGTTAAATTTTGTCAGGTGTAGTGCCAAAACTATCACTGAAAACGTAGTCATTTATTGAAACTATTTTATTTTCTTATATAATTTTGAAAAAAATTAAGAGCGATTAGGCAGTCTTAAATAACCTGATGATCAACACCGACATCTTTACCACCGCGAGTGTCTTGTATCTTATAAAGCATATCTCTACAGGGAATTTCATGTTTTGCTTAAATGACATTTTCTTAACTGAAAATGTAGTGATAACTTATAACATTAATGCAGAATCACTCACCTACCTGTAAGGGTGTTGAAATCACAGACTCCGGCGTTATTGACGAGAATGTTAATGCCACCTAGATTTGACTTCACCCATTTGAAGGCTTCCCTAACATCTGATTCTTTACTGACGTCACATTTGAGAGAGTAAAGCTTTCCTGAAGCTGATTCGAGGGAATTCGCCAACTCCTGTAAAGATCAGATACAACCATAGGATGTTTGTATGAATACGTCCTCTAAATTTTGACGTTTTAGTTCAGATATTAATAGGATGATCAAATCAAAGACGATGACATAGGCGGGGTATGTAGCACGCATGCGGGAAAATAAAAGTACTTACAGAATTTTGATTGCAGCGAAATATTAAAATGTATCAGCTTCTCAACAAGGGTTCTGCTCTGTGGAGTTAGTAATTTTGAGCGTATGTGAAAATAATACGCACTTAATTTTCGGAAGGTATTTAGAAGAGAAGTGTTCACTGTATTCTAGTAAATAGGACATAAAATTTTAAAAAATAATTTCAGCTCATTAAATTAATATTCACACACCTCAACCCTCTCCACTCTGCGCGCCAGTCCGACCACTTTGAGCCCTTTCTTGACGAGTTCCTGGGCGATGGCCGCTCCTATCCCAGAACTGGCTCCTGTCACCACGGCAACACGACCTGCCCAACGCTCCATTCTTGATTTAAATATTGATTTTTTTTAATAGAATTTCGCTGCTTTTTCTGAAATTAAATTTAATAAATTTCAGAATTAAAGCGTGTTATATGCCTTTATATCGTTGATACAGACGTAAATGATTAATAATCATATACCTCCATTTCGTTGAGTTTAGAGATGTGAATATATTTGTGCTCATATATCTTTTAGTCTGTGGGTTCATTGTTTATTTATCGACGGAGCATGTTAAAGCAATATACACATCTTAACGTGCAAGATCCAAAAATAGTTTTGCGTGCCTGATGAAGAGATGAACTCAGACCCTCTAGATATTTTGCTGTCACATCTACTATTGTCTTTACAGACCTAACAGAGCAGGAAAGTTACATAAACAACTAGTATACATACATACCTCGAGAACAGTTCACTTCTCGCTCGCGCGTCGTAACTGACTGCTTGTTTTTAAGCTCCTGTCAGCTTGTTATGTAACTAGGAAGGAATGAAATATTGCTTAGTCATGCCTCTACTGAAGGAGAGTTCATTTCTAGTGGTGTAACATTCATGAGTGTAGGTTATCAACTGATGGGCCATGAAAAACAATAAGATTACATTAATGCTGGTCACGATGATCATCCTGTCAATCGTTTTACCAAAGTAATGCTTAAACGTTATTTGAATTTAATTGCGTAATATTGAGAAATGTCTGTATTCGATTAATTTGTATAAAATTCTGATTTCTTACGGTGTCTAAGTGAAATGAGGTATTCTAGGACGGTTATCTGGATAGATACCGAATAATAATTTGATTTTTCGGACGCTATGTCATCAGGAACTGATGATGGAGACAGATGAAATCTCATAATTTCCATAGAATTTCTCATTTGTAAATTATTCCCTCGGGCGAAACTCCGGGTTATTGATAGACGAGTGGAATTCTGTTGGCAGACTACAATTTTTAAAGAACAGGTCGTCAACTTATTTCCATTTTCTTCGTTACTGTCTTATGTCGCTCCGTTTCTTGTTCGTAACATTAACGTCTTGCATTTGTGTGTAATGTTATTCTACGTATTACAAACTCTTCGTTACTGTGTCTTCTTTAACTTGCTTTTTATTTATGCACGTCGTATCAATAGACCGTATTTAAGGCTTTGACCGGGATGTTCTTTTGTTAAATCTTATGTGGTATCGCCTGATTCGACTTCTAATGGTTAAGTGAAGTGTTTTCTTCGCGGTACGGTCTGGATTCGTAAATAATATTCAGACGAGCTTCGGCTTCAAAGGGTTAACCAGCTGATTTTCGTAATGGTGAGGTGTAGTGTTTTCTTCGCGGTACGGACTGAATTCATAAATAATATTCAGACGATCTTCGGCTTCAAAGGGTTAATAGCGTCAATTGAAAAGTCGATTAATAAATAATTGCGCTGCAAAGTTGTGAAAGGAAGTTGTCGTGACCTAAGGTAGAAAATTATTCCTACTTTTCAAATATTTATTAATATACTCACAATACAGCTGATAAATGTCATGTAACCAATGGCGTGAACCTTGTACCCAACGTAGACTCTACGCACATATTACATTTAAATTGTTACAATGCCCATATTTGCTGGAGGGACTGAGAAAAGTTACGAAAACCCGTGTCAATATAGACGGGCTCTAAGACAATATTTTGAATTCGGGATCTTAAAAATACGAAACAGTGTGCTGTTCAATAATTTATGATGTCCAGTGTCCCCTGATTCAGCTGATTGATTAATGTTGGCTACTGGGTCTGAAGGTAACTTGCCATCTTAACTTTTTGTGCATAACAAAACCAACGAGCCCATCATGCAAACGTGTGAGATGGGATTAATATTAGCACAATCAAAAGCGTGGTCTGATATATTTGTTAGTATTATCCTCCCATCTATACTTAGGTCTCCAAAGTGGTGTTTTCCTTCCTGTACTTCGACTATTATATATATCTGTGCACTTCTAACATTTCATGTACGTGTTGAGTAGGAGTTTATCGTCTGTTTTTCTGTTTAACTGATGATAAGGATGTGTTTTTATTAAAAAGAAGGAAGTGGCTGTATTAGAAAATGTTAAGCTGTAGGAAATGTTTAAATACTATTTATTTTCTTGCTGCAATGATACATTGAAAACATTTAATGATTCTTGAAGGGTTGATTCAACAGAGTATAGAAACTGTGGATTGGTTTGCGTCATTGTTTAGCCAAAACCCTTCTTTTTTTAGAACATCTCTCCAATTGGCTTTATAGTCAGTTCGTGGATCTGAAAAACAAGGAAAGGAATTGTTAATATCATATTAATTTTACATTATATTCACAACACAGCAGCCATTTCAAACGTGAAGTACCCACCTGTACATGTGGAGGGGTTCCCAGAACGTATATCACGGCATCTGCGATGTCTTTCGAGTTCAGGTATGGCATGTTTCCTAAAGATTCAAATGCTTCTTTCGGGAAGGCCGATGCCTCTGCTATTTCTGTACGTACAGCTCCAGGACTCACGCTCTGAAAATATCACACAGAAAGACGGAGTCAACTTAGCAATAAATATGTAAAACCACCAGCCTGCTACATGAACATACCTATTACTTATGGATAATGTCCACAAAAATAATGTTTAATATATTAGCGCCGTTAGGAACATTTAAATTTAGCTATGTAATGTATATCTTTTAATCTGAGTGACAGGCCCCATGTCAGGAGTAGAGATTTTATATCACAAAAAAATTCAAGTAGTTTTACACTCACAGAGACCCGGATCTTGGAATTCTGCTTCACCAGTTCTCGACGAAGCCCCTCAGTCAGCGCTGTAACAGCGTGTTTGGATGCAGAATACATTGCTATTCCTACGTTTGAGGGTGGTTTGTGACCAACAACGCTGTTTAATATGCAACAGAAACATAGACATTTTAGTAACTTTGTAATTACAGGTATTAATCATAGAGATTCCCAGACTTTCACGAACCTCTTCCATGACGAAATGCAACACGCATATCACCATACAGGCTTAAGATTTTCTGCGAATTTCACTCCCCACCTCCACAGATACAGTAACATCATACATATCAATCGTATATTTGAATTACATTTCAGACAGCGGACACAGACGGTCAATCTGTCAGATAGCTTTATTTTTCCACGGTATATATTTGTGCCATGAAGAGATTCGCGAGCCACATTTTGGCATCCATCAAGTCCGTGTTTCTTAGCCTCACTGACCTGTTGATGTGGATGATGTGTCCGTCGTCCACTCCACTCTCCTTCATGGACTGGAGCGCTTCTTTGGTGCACACACTGAGACCCAGGACGTTGAGATCAAAGATTTTTCTCCACAACTCCGTTGGTCCATCTGTTAACAAAATTAAGTTGTCCAAACTTGAACGAAGTTGCTAAAACGACTTAGCTATTCTAAAGAGCGGCAGAGAAAGAAGAACTCTGCTGACGAATACTTGAAACCAGTACTCCAGTTATGACGAACATGTATGAAAATACAGCCTACTACCTCCTGTGCGTATAATTCACTTTCTTCTAGCGTGTTCCACCATGTCTCTGCTTGAATATACTGAAAAATTGTGATTGTACAGGGTTGCATATTTACTTCAGTTCTAAAAAAATTATGTTTTCGTGCATGGGCAAATATTCTTCTTAAAACTCCATTTTAAATAAAGACTTAGGGAGAATAGGCAAACAGTCTAGCCTGCTATTGCTTTTTCTCAAACTTCAGAGACTCGGGGTGATCATAGTCGGTGGAATGACAGCCTTCTCACACCAAACGCAAGAACTACTTTGTGGCAGTGAACTGGGATAAACTATTTTGGTCCACAATGATGTCAGAATAAATTTCTTCCCACATTCTTTAAGAGGGACTCGTCTATATGTAAGTGCTTATATACCTATGAGGTTACTGAAGGATGCTACTCCCGCGTTGTTGACGAGGATATCCACTCCCCCGACGTTGGTCTTGATCCACTTGAAGGCTTCCCTGACCTCTGACTCTTTGCTGACGTCACACTTTAATGGGTATAATTTCCCTGTTGCCGATTTGAGGGAATTTTTCAAAGCCTGTAAAATTACGAGACACGAATCCGACATCATAAATCAATCTCTTTCATATTTTATGGCGACGTAAATATGTTTATGTTCTACATTGATGTCACTGTGTTAAGGTAACATTTTATACAATGAGAGCACTTTACGTAATGTAATTTCTTTCAAATGTGAGTCTTACTTCGACTCTGTCCACTCTGCGCGCCAGTCCGACCACTTTGAGCCCTTTCTTGACGAGTTCCTGGGTGATGGCCTCTCCTATCCCAGCACTGGCTCCCGTTACCACGGCAACACGACCTGACCAACGCTCCATTGTAGAAATACGTTGCTTCTCTGTCGAAACTTTCCTCTGAAATGAGATGTGCTAATAGATACTTGTGGTTTTCCTCTACGTTAGCTACCAGCTTGACACTCAAAGAAGAATATGATAGAGATGGAACTGAATACTCCCCCGAATAAAACCCCGTAATTGAACACCGCAGATACCCATTTCCACCAAGCAGTATGACCCTGAGCCAGTTCTATATAGCTCAGATCTTAAAAGGAGATTCCCCCAATATTTATGCATTACGCTGTTATTGACTTGTCTTCTGAGTAGTCGCTTTTCAGATTACGTATGTATTTACAATCTTCCTTATCCGAACTACGTTTAGCTTGAACTCAACTAATCACAAGATTCCTTTTTTAAATGACATTGTTTTTATCACTTCAGTTTTAGTTTTGTGTCAAAATCATGCATTTTTCACTTCCCTTAGCATGCTTCGTGTCCTTTCCATTTAATATTGCTTAGTTTGAGCATCCTTACAATATGAACAGTGTTTAAGCGCCTAATAGTGAACATGATTATTACCTCTGAAACTCCGTCTGAAGAAATTGCACTTGAACTCTCTGACTGTCCTTGCGTTACTGCGTTAGCTGCGAGAAATCAGTGAGATTTATACGCATGAGATAAGAAGGAGAGTCGAATGAAAGCTGCCTTGTCATGGCCTTCATCATTAACGTGACTGTACATCAGATGCACAGACCTTGACGACAATAGACGGTTTGTTCAGTAAAGACGAGAGTATTATAGATTAAGATATTTTGCTAAGTAACTGTGTTGACGTAATTCCTTCTCCAGATAATTACTGTTGCTCCGGTAGTCGATAAATATTGCGTCTTTTACGGAACTCGAAGGTTTATTACTGTTTTACAACAGCCCGTCACTAGGAACCTTATTCCAAGCCCAGACACTCAATTTCCCTTTGTGATATTAATTATAATATTATTAGGTCTCTCAAATGGTATCTTTCTTTTGGGTTCACCAAAGACAGTGTCGTATATATATATATATGTGTATATATATATATATATATATATACATAATATTCCACATGCGTGCTAAATTTCTCGCCCTTTTCACCATTCTTCATTTCAGCAACCAAATTAAAACATGAATCGGTTTTAGTAGGCAAATTTCTCCGTTCTCCTGTTAGATCCCTTTAGATACCAGCATTCCCCTCGGCGCCCTGTTCCCAAACTTCCTTTACTGTGAGAGAACAGGTTTAAAAGTAATACAAAATAGCAGATAACATTGTAGTTTTATGCATATAATAAGCAAATAAAGAATAGCTTGTATGTTCTTTTACAGAGAAAGATCCCAGAACAACGATGAACGCGGGGAAAAAAAAAACTTTGAATAATTTTTCTTGTCCGTGGTAGCCACTGAAATTTGTTTTTGTTGTTTGTTTTGCTTTATTGTTCTTGTAGAATAATCTTGCTTTAACATGTACAGTACACTGTTCTTTAACCGATTTACGGGTCACATTGTATTTATCGCATTTAATATATTATTTGTGGTGTCAACAGTTTTAAATAAACTGATAACAGTAAAAGAAAATCTGACGTGACTGACGTTATGAATTAATTAAATTAAATTAAATCCGTGGCGTAACAGCTCCAGAGAGCTAAAGCCGACTAACTGGCTGCTGGCCTCACGTTCACATGCCTAAGCAGAGGTGAACGATCATCCAACCAGATATAGGATGACGTGTGGTCAGCACGACGAACCCCCAGCCATTGCTAGTTTTCATGACCAGATTACGCTACCCATTGTAGCTCCCCAATTTCCTCACGATGCTGGGTTGTCACCGGTCCCATACACTGGTCGAAAGCTCATGAGAAAATTTCTTCTCCCCCGAGACTCGAACCAGCGCGCATTCCGTATCGCCGGTCCGAAGCATGATGCCTCAGACCACGCGGCTACGTTATGAATGTGAATATGAATGTGTTCCAATCCTGAGATATTTTTACCCACAAATTTCGTTTATTATTAATCCATTATTCGAAGCTAGTACAGTGTTTTTAAACATCACATCAGTATTTTACTTAAAATGACTGCCGTGCCGAAATATTCAATTATTGTTCAATAAAAATGTATCTTTTCTCTTAGTACTGTTGTCCAACTGGTTTTACGATCAATTCGTGGATCTGAAACACAAGAAAAAGAATTGCTAGTATTAGCTTACTTTAATTTTGTGTTTCAAATTTAGCAGTCATTGGGTCGAAGTAACACAGTAGTCAGAAACGTTTAAAAAACCTCTGTTTAAAACACAAATTATTTTTCTATAACTTTTAGAGATGAGATATGTGCCAGGAGACATATGTAGACGACAAATGTGCTATACCAGGGCTGTTAATGTAACATTCTTTGTACAGCTCAGTTCAAACGTGAAGTACCCACCTGGACATGTGTAGGGGTTCCCAGAACGTATATCACGGCATCCGCGATGTCCTTCGATTGTAGGTAAGGCTTCTTTTCGGGAGGTTCAATCATTTCTTTCGGGAAGACCGACGCCTCTGCTATTTCTGTAAGTACAGCTCCAGGACTCACGCTCTGAAAATATCACAGAAATATATAACCCTATCATTCTACGATAGTAAGGCAACTATAAGACCGTGGTTAGTGCCCAATATAATAATGTCAGAATTAATTAGACTCATCTATTTTTTTAAATCTGAGTTGTAGTCCGTATCAAGAGTAGAGATTATATGTCATGGAAAATCCACGTTGTATCACACTCACAGTGACCCGTATCTTCGAGTTCAGCTTCACCAGTTCAAGACGAAGACCCTCAGCTAGCGCTGTAACGGCGTGCTTGGAGGCAGTATACATTTGTAAGCCTATGTGCGTGGGAGGTCTGTGTCCAGTTATGCTGTGTAATGAGCAATAAAACATAGGCATTTCAGTAACAGAATAAATTCCAAGTATTAATGTTAGCGATTCCAAGATTTGTTACTCCACAAAACCTAGCCATCGAGAAATGTAACAAGCGTACCAAAATATAAACTTCATTCTTGCAAATTTCTCTCCAATAAATTCGCTTCTCCGAGCTTTCTGAGCACAGATTGATTGACGAAATTACATAACGTGCGATTTAAAGTTTTCACGGCGGTGAAGGTGTCGATGGTGGTATTGTGAGTGGTAAAACCATGCAAACTCATAGGCAGGCAGCGGATGAGCGTAGTGCATCCATATCTACCTGCAATAACTCGCGTCGTTGCAGTACAGAATACTAAAATCAACAGATTAAGTTATTTTAATAAAATTGTACAAAATGCTTAAGACGTCCAGGGGCAGGATCTTCGAAATATTTATTTTTTGTTTCATAACCGAATACAGGACAAGAAAAAGTTTATTAATGGTTTTAGACAAGTTTACAGAAGGTCTACGCAACAGATCGTTTCATTTTCCGACGACCTCCACCCCACCAACCAGTATATATTTGTGCCATGAAGAGATTCGCGAGCCACATTTTGGCATCCATCAAGTCCGTGTTTCTTAGGCTCACTGACCTGTTGATGTGGATGATGTGTCCGTCGTCCACTCCACTCTCCTTCATGGACTGGAGCGCTTCTTTGGTGCACACACTGAGACCCAGGACGTTGAGATCAAAGATTTTTCTCCACAACTCCGTTGGTCCATCTGTTAACAAAATTAAGTTGTCCAAACTTGAACGAAGTTGCTAAAACGACTTAGCTATTCTAAAGAGCGGCAGAGAAAGAAGAACTCTGTTGACGAATACTTGAAACCAGTACTCCAGTTATGACGAACATGTATGTACATACGTACAGCCTACTACCTAATGTGCGTATAACTCACTTTCTTCTAGCGCGTTCCAGCATGTCTCTGCTTGAATATACTGAAGAATTGTGATTGTACAGAGTTGCATATTTACTACAGTTCGAAAAAAATTATGTTTTCGTGCATGGGCAAATATTCTTCTTAAAACTCCATTTTAAATAAAGACTTAGGGAGAATAGGCAAACAGTCTAGCCTGCTATTGCTTTTTCTCAAACTTCAGAGACTCGGGGTGATCATAGTCGGTGGAATGACAGCCTTCTCACACCAAACGCAAGAACTACTTTGTGGCAGTGAACTGGGATAAACTATTTTGGTCCACAATGATGTCAGAATAAATTTCTTCCCACATTCTTTAAGAGGGACTCATAAGTGCGTATATACCTATGAGGCTACTGAAGGATGCTACTCCCGCGTTGTTGACGAGGATATCCACTCCCCCGACGTTGGTCTTGATCCACTTGAAGGCTTCCCTGACCTCTGACTCATTGCTTACGTCACACTTTAATGGGTATAATTTCCCTGCTGCCGATTTGAGGGAATTTTTCAAAGCCTGTAAAATTACGAGACACGAATCCGACATCATAAATCAATCTCTTTCATATTTTATGGCGACGTAAATGTGTCTATCCCGTGTGGAGTTGCTACTCTCCCATCGGGCGCCTCCCCAGGTGGCGGATAGGGGAATGCTCACCAGGTATGGTGAGTACCGGGGAATTAAAATACCCGGGGCGGACCAAAAGTAGCAACTACTGCCTTGTAGTGAGATATTGGATTATCAAAGGCTAAAGGAATAAAACCTTGAAAACAAATTACCCGGTCGTCCAGGGTGGGGGTTGATGCAATGGGCCAACTCAACATTCATCGAAAAAAAATGTTAAAGTACCCAAGAGATTATAACCTATATATAAATGTATAAACATTGTTAAACCGGAAATATATAAAAATACGTCTATGTTCTACATTGATGTCACTGTGTTAAGGTAACATTTTATACAATGAGAGCACTCTACGTAATCTAATTGCTTTTAAATGTGAGTCTTACTTCGACTCTGTCCACTCTGCGCGCCAGTCCGACCACCTTGAGCCCTTTCTTGACGAGTTCCTGGGCGATGGCCTCTCCTATCCCAGCACTGGCTCCCGTTACCACGGCAACACGACCTGCCCAACGCTCCATTGTAGAGATACTTTGCTTGTCTGTTAAAATTTTCCTCTGAAATGGGATATGTTAATATATACTTGTAGCTTCTTACTAGTTTCGTATCTAGATAGAGGCTGAGTACGAACTAAGTACTTCTGCTAACGGAAACCCAAACTTCAACTTCGTAAATATCTAAACCCACCGATCTATACGATCCTGAGCCAGTTCGAATATTCATTACTGATTTCCCTAATAATTATAAGCTATGTTATTCTTTCCCCATCTTCTTCTAGGTCTTTGAAGGTGTTTATTGTCTTCCTTACCAGATTTTCGTTTTTGAACCTTTCTTTCGTTTAGCTTGAACTGAATAAATCAAAAAATTCCTCGTTTTTAAATAGCATTGTTCATAATAATGTAACAAACAGAATCTTTCGAGTTAGCCTCGTAATTTTTCAACTGGTACACAAATTTAACTACCTTTTATGCAAACTCGAAGTTTGTTAACGTGTTCAGCATAGTCCGTCTCTGAATCCTGCCCCGATCTAGTCCAGTTCACATCACCAAGCTCCCTTTCCACCATATCATTTTTATTAGTAAGTCTATGTCCGGGTCTCCCAGTTTGGGCTTCAATTCAAAATCCTGAAAGCATTTCTCACTGCTCTTATGCCTGCTTCATGTCACATCCATCTCTTCTTCCTGCATTTGATTATCATAAAAATGTTAATATTATTTCGGGATCTGACGATTGACATGTTTCTTACCTCCGAAACACCTACTGTGGTGATTGCACCTGCACTCTCTATCAGTTCCGGTGTGACTGTGCGAGCTCCGTGTAATCAATGGGGTTTAAAATAATGCCATATCAAGTATAATCGGGGAGACAGCTGCACTGTCATGACATTCCAGAATTACACAGCTTCGTATCAGATGCTTATACCTTGACGGAAGTAGATAGTTTGTTCAGTCAGGTTCGACCCACATGTGCAAACAACTGAATGCAAAATTAGCGAGTTCTTGCCACAGAACAACACGAGCAGATGTTACATTCGGATCTGACAGTAAGAGTCTGTCTTGACACAGATAATCAAGAAGTATCTCGTATTTTATGGAACCATGAGGTCCAGGACAAACTCCAGATCGACCTTTCGAATAGGGAGCATGAGTCCTAACCTTTCGACCGCGACTTTCGAAGACAATCAACCATTCTTAAAAATGCTGTAATTCCTAAGTGAGTGAGCCGAGAAGATTTACGTGTTGTGGCCATGGTAAAGTTTTGGCGAGTTCCATGGATATTCCTCCTTTTGGCTCGAACCCACTTTCATTCTTCTCTCTTTCTTGTGCTCGACAACTTTATGTTTCCACTCCTATTTCTTCCGGCACATTACGAAGACGTGGGGGGAAAAAACACGATGACTGGTAAAATGGGAACTTGCCAGATCAGCGTGGACTACAGTGTCTGGCCACTTCTGGTTGAGTGAACGCTGATTTTCAGGAACTCGACCTTGGCATTAACTGTATCTGCTTCTGTGGTTCCCGCTATGACACGTCTCCTTCCGCCGTTTATCGAGAGTCATTTGCCTCCAGCGGAAGTTCGTATTCATCGTACGGGATCTTTGTTACCAGTTTCTCCGTACCCACAATCTTCCGCGTTATCTCTCAATGACTGGAAAACAAAAACTTAACCTAGAATTTTGGTTTTGCTCTTAACATGAAGCCCATAATCATGTTCCTACGTAATTGAATTATCCCTGTAATCGCATAAGCATAGCTAATGATAATGTTTGTTCCACTGCGGACAAAAACCACTTTGTGAATGACGAAGCGATGGCATGGTTATTCATTGTTGGGCGGCTGGCTGTACCAAAAGGGCTTTCCCAACACACATTCTTACGCTGATAAAAACTGAACTTACGGAAGTGTCAATTTGGGAAGCATCGATGAGTCAGCGACCATCACAGAATTTGCTTTGCTGCAAAGTATAAAATACTTGCGTGGAAAGATTTAATAGCAGAAGGCGGATGCAGTCAGCAGTCAGAGTTGCAGTATTCAGTGTATCTAGAGGTGAAATAGTGCAGTGTGTGAACATATGAAGCGCGTGTGTGTTGCTCGTATGGGTAGGGGAAACTTTAGGACATGCATACGGCAGTCTGTTGTGTTTAAATTCATCCTTTTACAAGAAATAAGAAATGTGTATAAAATTTTAGTTTGAAAACGAGAAAGCAAAAGGACACTATAATTATCAAGACGTAGCTGTTTGGATGGTATTAAAATGTATTTGAAAGAGACAGGATATGAGGGTGTGAGATAGATTAATCTGGCTTAGGATAGGGTTTTTGGTGGCCCGTTCTGAACATAGTATCGAATATTCAGGTTTCATGAAGGTTACAACGTTTTTTGACCAGCTGAGAGACAATTACATTCTCAGAGACTTTGCTCCATGAAGTTAATTTTTGCACTAATTCATTTATTATTTAATTTATTTCCTTGTAAACTACATTCATAAAGATATTTTAAGGATGCTGTCTGTCTGTTTGTGTGCACTTCAGTAGCACTGTGAGGGCTCATCAGATGAATATTTTGCACGTGCGAGTAAAATTGTTTACATCCTGTGCAGCAGCTGTATAAATATGGATCTGCATCAGAAATAATATTCTTCACATGTTAGTCATATAACTAAATCAACTTTCTTCAACCCACACAAAGTCAGTGTGAATTCCAGACTTGTAATTCTATATGGAGAATGCCTTTCTCTTTTTAGATATTTGACTCTTGTGAGCATTTTTGGGCGACGTAAGCATTCACCTTTTTTCATTCTGAGAGAGGATTGCATTTATATGATATGCACAAAAATATAATGTAAATATCTTTCACACCTGAAGAGACTCGAGTACAAATAGATTTGGGTCTAACGTGAATAATGAGGCCAAACTTCTTAGTTCAACAAGTACCAGTCTTTCTTCTTTCGAATTACTTCTTAGTTCATCAAGTACCAGTCTTTCTTCTTTCGAATTCCCGCAAGATGATTAGCTATCACGTCTTATATTTCTCATGATGGGTCATAACTGATCTCGCCCGCGTCCATCACAATTTACATTGAAACTAATGATTTTTGGAGTTGAACGGGTATCCTGAAATATACTAAGAAACATAATAATAGCATGACAATTTTTTACTTTACAGATACTGTACTTGAAGCTACACAATGGCAGCACTAGAATGCACTGGTTCTATAATCCTCTGTTTTCTAGCCAATTTTCTGCCCCTGAACCTCAACTATCAGTCATCCTCTGATCTCCATTCACCCCAATTAATCACCAATGGAGAACGCTATGACTTCATCATTGTTGGAGGGGGTGCTGCAGGTTCCGTGTTAGCCAACAGGTAAGTGATTTAAAATGTATGTTCCATGTTTAGCGCGTGGGGTTGTTGATTTGCATGTTTCGTTTGCCTTCATTTACAGCTCGTACAGTCTTCATGTTGCAAAGTTAGTTCCAGTATAGAGAGTCACAATTATTTTCCTCAGACACTCCGCATGAATTCTAATTAATAGACTTATGTTAAGATTTATCATTCCTACGCTCTTCTAAATCCCTACCTGTTGATCCTCGTGATCATTATCCCATCATATTCAGCCTTGAAGAATATCTGCAAGTGAAAAGTCACCAACACTTTGATTTTTAATTGAAATTTACTATGTTCTGGCCTCAGACACTCCGCATGAATTCTAATTAATAGGCTTATGTTAAGATTGATCATTCCTTTTTAATTGAAATTTACTATGTTCTGGCACTAGAATATCACTTAATTTAAAGCACTATAGACCAATATTACATTTATTTTTATTATATTCTAATACAACAGTCACAGAGAGGGGTTAAATAATTTAAGAATCAATTAGTTTCCATCCATGTGTGGAGCTTCGTCTTCACTCCTCCAGTACGATCTTGTGCACAGGTTAATGTACCTCAGAGTCACCTCTGACCCTGCTGCAGGTTGTCTGAAGTGACAGACTGGAAGGTGCTGCTCTTGGAAGCAGGTGGAGAGGAGCCCGACTTGGCTGACGTACCCGCATTCCAACCGTTCACGACAAACTCCCACCTGAATTGGTATTATGAGAGTGTGCCAGACAGCAGGTTCTGTGGCGGGAAATCGTGCGCCTTTACGACCGGCAAGGGATTGGGCGGGAGCAGTCTGCACAACGAGATGATGTACAGCAGAGGAAATAGGCGCATCTTCGACATGTGGGAGAAAATGGGTACGTTCTGCGCTGTGAGACATATTTCTTCTTCCTGTATGTCCTCTTCCTTTACCTTCTTTTTTTCTATATTCTTCCTTCTTTTTGTTTATTTTTTTATTCTTCTGTATCTTATTCACGTTCTCCATTTTGTGAAAATCAAATACTCCTCCTAGAATTGACAATGTCTGATATGTTTTTTATAATAAATCAGCCATTGCCACAGAAATTTACAAAATTATGATCTCAGGTTCTCATGATGGTGAGTACAAAGATTGCTCTTTTCTGGGTTGTATCACCATGTAGTGTGGTAGAAGTCTACCAGTGTTTCAGAGGTTTTTGCAGGGTGGTCACCCTGATGATGGAGGCAGCCAGGATCTCTGAAACACTGGTAAATGTCTACCAGAATACACGGTACTACAACCCAGAAAAGAGCAATCTTTGTACGTGATGATGCTGTTCTTCTGGGTTCTGGTGCCGTAACCCAGAAGAAAAGCATAATCATTGTAGTCGCCATGAAAACCTCAAATTTCACATCTTTGTATATTTTGATGTTTTCTTTATATGATGACGTATTGATATAGTCTTCTCAACTATTGGAAGAGAGTGCTTATGTTCCTACTCAGAACAGAGGACAGATTCAGTAATTTTCTGAGACATGCATGAACTTATTCCGAAGAAACATTTAACTGCATCCTGAAATACACTAAAAGTCATGGTATTAACATTTTACATTCTGCTTCATTTAGGGAATTCAGGTTGGGCATTTAAAGATGTTCTGCCACATTTTAAGAAATGGGAAAACAACTCTGATCCTTCTATTGCTCAAGACACAGAATACCACAATATTGGAGGTCCCCAAAATGTTGGCTGGTTCCCATACCAGGACAGGAATGTGCAGCCATTACTGGAAGCATTTCAGGAAGTGGGTTATCAGGAGGTAGACTTTAACGGAAGGAATCAAACTGGTGTGATGCGGGCACAATTCTTCCAAAAAAATGGTGCACGACAGAGTTCTAATCACGCGTATATAAAGCCGGTCAGAAACGTAAGATCAAACCTCAAAGTAATCACAAATGTCAGGGTTACAAAGGTTTTAATTAATCCAGTAACCAAACTAACAAAGGGCGTGGAGTATGTCTGGGAACATAATAAAGACAGGAAAGGAAAAGTTTTTGCTAATAAAGAGGTCATTATCAGCTGTGGGGCAATCAATTCACCACAGTTACTCATGCTTTCTGGAATTGGTCCTAAGAGAACACTAAGGTCACTTGGAATTCGAGTGATGCAGGATTTGAATGTGGGCTACAACTTTCAGACCAGCATTAAAAGTGGTGGCATTGACTTAATATTGCCAGATTCACAGGCAATGATGCCAAGTGACGAAGATGTTCTCCAAGGGATTCTTGAATATTATAAAAATCGCCAAGGACCCCTATCTGCCGAAGGGTCATATCAGGTTACAGCATATATCCCTTCTCGTTATGCTAGTCCATTTGAAGATTTGCCTGATCTTCAGTTTGGCCTTCTTCCAAAAATTACGTTCCTTGACGCAACTAAGCCTGACCAAGAATGGCCTCACATTATTCCTTATTCATATTATAATAGAATATCTGTGCAGCCATACGATGTTCGTCCAAATAGCTACGGATATATCACCATCAACACCACAGATCCTTTTAGCCCACCTTTAATATATCCAAATTTTTTCTCAGCTGAAGAAGATCTCAATGTCCTCATCGACGGATATAATTTTATTGCAAAAAAATTATCAAAAACAAAAGCACTCAATAATTTGGGGATTTTTTTGGATACAACACCCGTGCCTGAATGCGCACATTTTTATTTTGGCACCGACAGTTATTGGAATTGTTTGTCGAGAATATACAATGAAACATCGCAACGGTATGGTGGCTCATGTAAAATGGGTCCGTCTAGTGATCGTTCAGCTGTGGTGGATCCGCACTTGAAAGTGCACGGGTTTAAAAACCTGCGCGTCGTCGATGCCTCTATAATGCCTATTTATGTAAATGCAAACACTTACGCTGTTACACTGATGATAGCTGAGAAAGGTGCAAGTATGATTAAAGATGACTGGTTGAAGTAGAAAGCATTTGGTTGCTTAGAAAAATATTTTCTGACAAAGTATGGCCCTTATAATAATTCAGTCTAGCCTATGGGACGTTTATCTTTTATCAGGGATCACAATTACACTGAAGAAATATGGGTGGATAAATACAATTTACGGTGCTTATATAAATACAAAATTTTGGAGTCCTTTCTATTTGTATATTCTGTTTATATTTGCGATACGAGAAAATTGTATGAAGCTCACTTCAGTGTAGTTTAACATGGGCTGTAACATCTTGAGAACACATAGATGTGTGTGTGCACGTACACATGCCTATGCACGTGTAAGATTATTCTGAACTCGTCATAATGTTTTTAGGCTTAGTTTATGGAACCCCCATATAGGTATAATAAAAGTTATATTAAAAGTTCATTTAATTTAGTCTTTAATGTTATTTATATTAATTACAAATTTGTTTACAGACACTGTGAATAGATATGGAAAGTACAATTAGAATAATTATCTTATATCTGTAATATATTTATTTATTTCCGTCAATACACAAACTTAGTTGTTAAAATTGGTGTTATTAAAGCTAAAACTTTAAAATTTGGTGCTTATCATCGCTATTACGATGTTACAATTTTAGCACTCATTATTTTATTTCACAACATGTTTCAATGCAACTGCATCATCTTCAGGCTATTTTCGTCTTTAAAACTAATGTATATTTATTAATGCAACTATCCTTGATTTGTTTGTTTTGTAGTTTTCATTTTTGTAGGTTGTTTCTTTTTGTTGTTCGTCTTGTTTTGTATTTAGTCGTTCTGTAGTCTGTGAAACAATTAATTGACATTCGAATTATTAATTATTTATATGAAAAAGAGTTTGGAAAATAGAAAATATTTATAAAACATAGAAATATAAGATCCATACCAGAGTTGTGATTTGTGGTGTGTTTGCGTCTGTGTGTAAACTACAAATATCTTATATCTCCTTATAAATTATTTGTGCTGTAATAAGGTAATGATTTTGGTAAAATTAGTACTTCATGCTGCTCCTATTATATACGGAATGTTACCAAAAGCATTACGCTGGTGTTTGTTATTGGGAAATAAATGTAGTATTAAATATTAGTGAACATTTTGTGGAAATCGAAAACAGTTTTACATGACAAAGTTGTTTTGTGCTTACGTATAAAAAATGTGCTAATTTCAAGATGATGTCACCAAAATTAAACAAGTTCTCCCACAGGCTTGATGATCAGTTCAAGGATCTGTAATCAAAATAACTTATCATTAATGATCTCTTTTAAAACACATGTTTGTTTACGTATTCATAGACAAGAAATGGTTTAGATACATTTTTGTATATCATTTGATAGCCATCGGAATATCTGTAGCAGACTACTTGGGAGACATATTTAAAGTTCTGAAGATAATTATAAAATATTAATTAGGAATGATAGGTTATAGAGATGTGATTATTTCAAATACTGGAGGATTATTCTGTACCATTTGAGTTAATTTATAGATTACTTTAAAAAATAAAAATAAAAGAATAGCATCCAGCTGATAATCCCAGCATAGGGAGGATTAAATTTTTGTGTCTAATAAATGTCACAGTTTGAAATACCTGAGCAGAATGTTACTGTTTCAAACTGACTAGTACCTGAACATGAGGGGGTGTTCCCAGTACATAGAGCACGGCGTCAGCGATGTCCTTACTCTCCAGGGCGGGCCCACTGTATAATTCTTGCGGTTTCAGAGCTTTTGAACCAGAAGCAATCACGAATTCAGTCTTCACTAATCCGGGACTCAGACTCTACAATGTTGGGAATAAACATGTTTTCAGAGTAATTCATTAATACTTACAATAAAACCATGCTTAACATGGTGAATATGTTCCGGTAAACAGGACCACTAATTAGTTCACTGACGTTCTCTATTTGTTATTCACCGTCACCCTCCTAACTGACATTATATGACATATATAGGTGAGAGAGCATTATTAAATAAAATATGTAATAAGGGTTTACACTCACAGTAACCCGTATCCTTGAGTTCTGCTTCAGCAGTTCACGACGAAGCCCCTCAGTTAGTGCCGTGACGGCGTGTTTCGATGCAGAGTACATATAGAGTGGGACTTGGGGAGGTGGAACTATGTGTCCCGCAATACTGCAAAGGAACAAACCCTTAATTTCTATAATCTGTACATTAAATTAAGTAAAAAGTTTATGTTGGAACATTATGTGCAACTCATTGGTATAGAGTAATTTTTGATAAGTTTAAAGTCACTTAGTTAATCCAAAAAAAAAATCCTTATTTATAGAACCCAAAATTTAAATGCCATGTCCCCAGAAGTCTGTTGTTGGGCATTCCTAAGCCTTGGAATCTGGTCCTCACCTTGTGTCTTCTTTTATTTATTTATTTCTATGTCTTTAGGATACTCACATCTGTGATTAGATCTCACAAGAGTCTGTTCCCATCAGGTTTCCTATTTAAAATTATTTATCTCTGTCATATCTCTGGTAAGTTTGCTTCGTAAACCTGCTAGATTTGATAATTCAATAATATCTGGTGAAATTTACAAATTATGAAGCTTCTCATCGTATATTCTCTTCACTCAGAAAGGGCCACCTTATAACACAGACATGTAAAAGAATATATTTTTGGCGTTACTGACCTATTGATATGAATAATATGGCCAGCCACCCCTCTTTCGTTCATGGACTCAATTACTTCTTTTGTGCATATGCTGAGACCAAGAACGTTAAGATTTAGGATCTTCCTCCAGCTGTCTACAGGACCTTCTATATAAATGTATACATATGCATAGATATAATTCCACATTAATAAATTCTGTGGCAACAGAACCAAAGTTTTGGCACCACTAATAATAAATCTGGCAATTTTACACAATCCTGAGTCAGTTCCTTCCACCGTCTACCCTCATGACATACCTAAGATGTAGCTTAAAATTATTCTCCTTCTGTCTTACTCAAGGGTGCTGTCCTGGGGGGTTTTTGTTCCAAAATTCTGCGTGCATTTTTTTCTCTTTCTTGGTTGTACTATATGCCTTTTTATCATAATTCATATAACAACATATGGTAACCTGTTTATGGATTTTGGAAAAGTGTTCAGAATACAGTAACATTTAAAAGTGGGAAGGAGAGAGGGGAATAATATAAAAACGAATCTTGTGTAAAATTTTGATAATGTAATCTAGCGGAAGATTATGTCTATAGTGGGCTTTTGGTATTAGCGGTGTTAAATTTTAAGGCTTTACTTCCAGAGAATTATTTATTAACTAATTTGAATTTGTTTGCACTCACGCGCTAATTCTGTTTTTGAAGTTAAAGCTGAGCATTAAATTAAGATAAACATAAAGCTCCTCACATTCTTAACCTTTGCGCTGGATTAAAATGAATTATGAAATTCGTGATACAGATACTTTTACAGTAAAGATATTTGGTCCCCATCATCTGTTGGCTAGTAGGAAAATCAGGGAACACGTAACGAAAAATAATATGAAGCATACCACGCAGACTGTTGTTACTGTCTGCTCCTGCGTTGTTAATAAGAATGTCAACTCCTCCAAGATCCTCTTTCACCCACTTAAAAGTTTCCTTAATGTTTTCTTCATTTGTAACATCGCATTTCAGTGCATAGAGCGTCCCTGGTGCTGACTTCAGAGTACTATTCAGATCCTATAAGAATACAACAAACAATTGCTGACATTGTATGGACGTATTTATGCACCTAATAAGTTTATTGTCATGATTTATGTCATCAGGTGTTAATGTCCAATACATAGTGAATACAAACAAATCATTCACAATAGTAGCGTACAATTCTTTTGTGCAGGGGCCGAATGATGCTACTTCAAACTGATGATTTTTGGAAGTCTTTATATGCTTTTCAGTGTGAAAATCGTCTTCAGCTACCATAGATAGAACACTTTGGTCTGTTTCATTTGAGGTGAGAATGTCTCAGGGGCCTTCGATTTTAAGAATTTTATGATTCATAAATATAACTCTTTGGTTGCAGAACCTGAATGATAAACTGTTCCGGAACAAAAGTCTGCAATTGGACATGTTCCTGAGTTAGTTACCTCACAACCTATTTCTCTGAGATCTGTTTTAATATTTTCCTTCCATTTCCTCATTGACATTTCTGAAGAGGGTTTCAATATCAACATTCTGTATGCACTACTTATCTTACTCATGCTGGCTGTTTGTCCATTCAATTGTAGCCTCGTAGCCATCGCTATTGAAACAGAGTACATGACTTGAATTGTAAGTTACTCGTTACTGAATTCCCTGTACGCCCACATATGCGCAATAACAACTTAATATAGAATGTTTACCTCAACTCTGTCCACTCTGCGCGCCAGTCCGACCACTTTGAGCCCTTTCTTGACGAGTTCCTGGGAGATGGCCGCTCCTATCCCAGAACTGGCTCCCGTTACCACGGCAACACGACCTGCTCAACGCTTCATTGTAGAGATACGTTGCTTCTCTGTCGAAACATTCCTCTGAAATGAGATGTGCTAATAGATACTTGTGGTTTTCTGTTACGTTAGCTACCAGCTTGACACTCAAAGAAGAATATGATAGAGATGGAACTGAATACTCCCCCGAATAAAACCCCGTAATTGAACACCGCAGATACCCATTTCCACCAAGCAGTATGACCCTGAGCCAGTTCTATATAGCTCAGATCTTAAAAGGAGATTCCCCCAATATTTATGCATTACGCTGTTATTGACTTGTCTTCTGAGTAGTCGCTTTTCAGATTACGTATGTATTTACTGTCTTCCTTATCCGAACTACGTTTAGCTTGAACTCAAATAATCACAAGATTCATTTTTTAAATGACATTGTTTTTATCACTTCAGTTTTAGTTTTGTGTCAAAATCATGCATTTTTCACTTCCCTTAGCATGCTTCGTGTCCTTTCCATTTAATATTGCTTAGTTTGAGCATCCTTACAATATGAACAGTGTTTAAGCGCCTAATAGTGAACATGATTATTACCTCTGAAACTCCGTCTGAAGAAATTGCACTTGAACTCTCTGACTGTCCTTGCGTTACTGCGTTAGCTGCGAGAAATCAGTGAGATTCAAACGTATGAGATAAGAAGGAGAGTCGAATGAAAGTTGCCTTGTCATGGCCTTCATCATTAACGTGACTGTACGTCAGATGCACAGACCTTGACGAGAATAGACGGTTTGTTCAGTAAAGACGGAAATATATTTGTGATCTACATTTATCTAACAAATTAAGCAGACTGGTGTAAACATAACATTTTACATTTGTATTTTGGCAAAAGTCAGTTGAAATCTCAGCTGAATATTGATTTTACTGACTGATATTTTTCTGTGGTTCCCCACAGTCTCAACAAAACAAATGGTATTATAGTGCCTTGAAATAGGTCGTGAGTGGCTCCTTTCAAATCCTTGCCTTCACACATTTAATAAATGTTACCCATTTTATTTGACGTTATAAGACTTCAACAGTTAATTAGTGTTGTTTAATAACTTCAGATTTAATATAACGTAGGAAATAACTCTGAATTTGGGAGGAAACTTGCTTTCACCTTCACGGTCACTAACATAATTTAAAGAATATTTGACTTTGCCTGCTGTATTGCTTCAGAAGCCAAGATAAAAGTTTGTCCACTTGTGCTCAGTATTTGATTTATACGTGATTTATCATATATATATAAATATGTATTTATACCAAAGAACGTAGGAATGAAAGATAAGGAATTGCTTTGTCACACACTTGTGATATCTCAAATTTCTGGATCGTGATATTCAGTGTCACAAGAAGATAAGTTACCAGCCAGCGACTTGCATATCCAAATGTAACAATTCATCATCCTATGGTAAACAGAGCTGTTTCTACCTTATCGTATGAGAAGACAAGATAATGTTGCACGTGAAATTATGCAATCCTCATTTCGAAAATATTTATATAATATGTATAAACACGTACCTGTGGAATATATTTGCCATATTTAATTAAATTTCATGTTTTCACGGCGGAAAGTACGAAGATGGCTTTTCTCCTTGGGTGTAGCGGCCGTGTGTTCTCGTACAAATTGATTGACGTTTCAGAGGTCCTCACTGCCTCCATCGTCAGTGCGATATCCTACATGACTAATTAATGTAATAAAAACTTATTCCGTTTCAAGGGTTGCCGGAACTCTTAGTATTTCTCCACCTCTCATCGCTGCACGGAGTAAATTTGTTTCATCTTTGTAATACCCGCCACATATCAGACGAAATGGATGCCGGAATCGATCTTGGCACAAATTAGATTGATCTTCTAACCTCGGCCCTTCATTTGTTTTCCAGAACTTCAGCAAGGAAGCTGGCGTTGAAGTCTTTCTGTGATGAACCAACCCGAATTTGCGATGTGGCCAAGGACGATAAGTGAAAGTGTGAGTGGTATCATCAGCTGTGTGAAGGACTCCCGAAGCAAAGCGGAACTTCAGACGGGATGTAACTACAGAGCAGAGTCACCATAGGTGGACTCCATTAAATGACGGCAACCCGCAGCTACGGTGAGTAGGCCTAATGTTTTCTAATGTTTTTTTCTAATTCTGTTAGAATAAGCTGTGAATATATGGTTCTACGAGGATACGTCGTGTCAAGTATGAATTCACGAATAGGGCCCTAGACCTATATGAAATTACCGTTGTGGTGGCGAACAAAATGAGTGGACGAATTAACGCACATTAAGGTCATATGTCTACCTTTTTATTGTTACGACGGGGTGAGACCTTTATTTCTATGGAACTGAGTCTGGAAGGTAACACGAAATAAGAAACCGAAGGATGTCACTGTGATAGCCACAAATTCCATTTTGGGCTGTCCTAATCCAAATCGGGACCTGCCTTATGCAAATATAAATGAGGTTCATGATGAAATTAAGTGTAGAATACATTCGGGCTCTATTATTATTTTAGAGCCTTGGTAACGAGGAACTTGGCGATAAGTAACGTTAATTAACATCGTTTGGGTAGTGTAATGGAGGAGGTTATGATGGGTTAAACTTGCAGCTTGTGTAAAAAAAGACAAGAAATGCAAGTGAGATAAATATTAGCACCGGTCAGTGACGAAAGGTGGCCAAGAAGATAGGTCGTGCAAGAATAAATAACTTGAAGCGGTGGTAGCTGATTATATGATTTTATTATGCAAATGTTCTTCTAGAGAGTCTCTAGGAAAATGGTACATAAATGCACGTAATGCAGAAGTTCTTTATTTTGTCCGTTTAAATCTTCTCTCCAACCGGATGAATGGTCACCTCATGAATCTGTAACAAACGAGGTTATAATATTTTTGTTTTCTCACAAAAACATTAATTCTTGTTAGGTTCATTTGTTATGGATGGTAGCACATTGTGTTCAACGTAATGAGTTCCACTTCTGCAAGGCCAAAAGTATTGTTATCGCAGTAAGCAATGGAATCCGGTTTTGGTTTAGTGGTTTAATAGAAACATGTACAGTAGATTCCGGTTAATTGGGCTATCGGTTAATCTGGGCAGCCATTTGTTTGAAACTTCGCATAATTGGGGCAGTCGCTTAATTGCCAATCTAGTCCCTATGTGTCCCAATTAACCGAAATCTACTGTTAAAAAAATATATATAATTGCTTCCGTGTTCAGGGCTATATTCTGAGATACGTTTCAACATGTGAGATGGAGGACACAAAAAATGTACTCTGAATTTTGATGTCAAAGTGGCTTAGAGGACTGCCACCTGTATGGTCGAAAATAATATCGGAGAAATGCGTTAAGATGGATGTTAGGGAAATAGATGAAAGGAAAATAACTAGAACCGGATCGTATTTTGTGGTGGGATCTGATATTAGTGGCCATTCCGATTCTGATGTCAGAGGGTTAGGCGTTCGCGATGTTCGTCAAATGTTTTCGACGCTACGAAATTTCATTTGTACATTGATGTAACCGCACCGTTACCTGATTCGAGATGTTTGTCACATGTTTTCGACGCTACGAAATTTCATTTGTACAATGATGTAACCGCACTGTTACCTGGACATGCGGACGGCTTCCGAGAGCAAATAGGACTGCGTCAGCGACGTCTTTTGGAAGCAAGTGAGGATTGCTCGAATACGTGGCTTCTGCCGTTACGAGTTTCGTTCCTGAAGAAGTCAGAAAATCTGTTTTCACCATTCCAGGGCTGATACTCTGTAACACCAATGCCTTGAATCAGTACACTTTTACTATGTAAGGTTAAGGTTTCCAGAGTGTGGTTCAAGTATACTAGTTTACTGACATCTTATAAGCTGATATCGCCACTAAAATTTAGCGTTTTTATTTTACATGTTTTTGTAGAGGTGCTGCTACGAAAAATTACGAACCGCCACTGAAAACTGCACTTTCCACTCTACAAACCAAACAGTATCAATATTGTACCTGATTGACACTCGTTGTTTTATGAACCGGCAAATTATAGTCCTAGTAACTGTTTTGTATGGACGTAACACTTCATTTTTCTGTCCGAATGAAGGGAGGATAGGATCAATGATGATGGTAGAAGTGAAATCATGGTTTTATATTAAAAGGAACACCTTTTATATTATCGGCCAGGGAATTCGACACAGAAACAGTAATTTGACAAGCGCTGTCCATTTACCGCGTATAAGCCTAGCGTATTTATGCGTTTAATCCAATTTATTTACTCACAGTGACTCGGATATTGGACTTCAGGTTGACAAGTTCCTTTCGCAGTCCCTCGGTCAGCGCTGTGACAGCGTATTTCGATGCTGTATACATTGAAAACCCAAATTCCGCAGGGGGTACAACGTGTCCTAGGGTGCTGTTAAAAAGAAAATTGAGTATAAGGAAAATTACATAATGAGGAACGTCATAATTTATACTGTATCAAATGTTATTGAGGGGGGTAAAACCAAGGAGGATTATATGGGCCGGGCATGTAGTAAGCATGGGACAGACGATAAATGCATCAGATACTAAATTATACTTGAAAAACCTGAAAGGATGAAATAACTTGGAAGACCTAGATGTAGATGTGAGCTATTTGCCTGCCAATGCCATTAATTATGTCAGTGTAGAACTATAGATGTGCAATATTAATTCACAGTGTCATAAGTATCTGACGTTTATATAAGCCTTTTTACGCTTGTGTAATTAAAATGTATTCGAACATAGATACATATTCTCATATACATCAGGTGCGTAATCGTTACGTAAGTCTGCTTTGGATATTCTTATTAGATCTTGTTAAACCTGCAGGTAACATACCTGTTTATATGAACAATGTGACCATCATCGACGTTTCGGTCTCTCATAGATTGGATTGCTTCCTTCGTGCAGATACTCAGAGCCAGAACATTTATGTCGAAAATTGACTTCCAACTTTCAGCTGGGCCATCTGTATCAAAAATAATACTCTCATATTTATAGACATTTCTACAGCGGTTTGAGCGTTAAACCCAAGAGATTATTCCTCAAAACGAAATCGTGGCTCACCAATGAGGTTGTTTGAACTGTCACCTCCGGCATTGTTAACCAGAATGTCCACCCCTCCAAGATTACTTTTCACCCATCTGAATGTTTCCTTAACGTCTGCTTCTTTTGTGACGTCACATTTCACAGCGTAAAGTTTGCCTGGTGCCGTCTTGAGAGTTGCTGATAGTTCCTGAAAGAAAAATGTTTTCAGTTCAGGATTTTAAATTTGTAACGATTTAAGGCCACAGAAGAATCTACAAAGCCATTCAATTAAGTCACTACCGCTTCCTTCCACATCCCTTCCAATTCATTAGTCGCTATCATCCTCTCATTTGATTCTATATAGCCTGAGGTACTGCAGCCTCATTCAGGACAGAAGTGATGGGAATGCAGTTTCGGAGGCTTTGTTTCGGGAGATAAGGGACTGTCACGAATTCTGATTGGTCAATCCAAGTCAGATCACAAATGTGTGTGGCTACATTTGACATGTTTTCCGACGTAATTTTCTGTCAGAACGACCATGAAGAAGGTCTTCCGAAATGTTGGTAATTTTTACCGCTGGGATATCCTTGGATATCCACGAAGTATCATAAATTATTTTACAGAACTTAGATGTTCATACCGTGTTCACAAAAGCCCGCATGTACACATTTCTCTCAAGAATTAATCTCTGTCTTACTTGGATTTTCTCCACTCTACGCGCTAGTCCGACGACTTTGAGCCCTTTCTTGACAAGTTCCTGGGCAATACAGGCTCCAATTCCTCCACTGGCTCCCGTTACCACGGCAACACGACCAACCCAGCGCTCCATTGGTGTGGTTTAGTTTGCAGTTATTGTATGTTCCTGAAAAGAACTATGTACGGAAAATGTTCAGTGACATTCTCGATTACATTCTTGGAGTATAAATTATATCAGGACGAAACATTTTTTAAATCAGAAAGCCAGATTCAGAAGTGATGAAAAAGTAAGAGCTTCTTACCGTTTAATTTTTCCTAAGTCCACAGTTTATTTTTTATTTTTTTTTAATTTTTTGAAAGATTCAAGTTCTTTCTATGTAACCTAATTAACGAGTTGACATATTCAGGCAAAATAATTGACTTGTTTACATGAAATTTGGTGAGAATATTTATCCTGCTCGCTTACCTTTAATTTTCTATACGAAAAAATGCAGACATGTCCGTTGTGCGAACGTACGTTGTGTAAAAATCACTAGCATGTTTTAATGCAGCTTTGAAGGTTTGCATTTAAGAAAAAACTGCGTTGTATACTGGGACAGTAGTTTAGATAATGAAACTTAAGTATAGAGTTGCATCGTAAATGTTCGGCAGAATGGATTACGAGAAAGTAAAACTTTTTTATAGTAGAACACTTAAGTACAAATTGTTGTCACTACTTATATTATCACAGAACGTTACTACAGTAACAGTCAGCAAATTACAAGCTTCATGACCACGGAAGGATTCCCCCCCCCCCCCCCATCAAACTCTCATGACTCTCATGACTCGATACAAGCAATTATATTTTTAGTTGTCATTGTCTTTTTTTTTCCTTGATGAGGAGAATTTTTTTACACAGGCCGAGACCGAAGCTACTTTTATGTCACTGAAAATCCACATTAATAAAAACGTGTCTTCGACAAAACTAGAAAACTATCGTTTGTCAATTGTTACTTTCTTTCTATTTATGAATGCTAGTTTCGTCTAAAGGTACAATTTGGCTGCACGCGACAGAGACAAGCGACCGAGACAGGCGACAGAGTTACGAGACCGAGACTGGTCGCTTCCTGTCTGATCTCTGTACAATCGTATGAAGTACAATTACGAGCGCGAGACAAAGACAGGCGACAGAGACAAAGCACAGGAGACCGCTCTCGGACCAGTAGTGTCTCGCGACGGGCTCAGGCAGCACGTGTGTTGTTGAGTAAAATAATGGCAGAAATTAAATTTACTGGTGACCAAGATGAGCAATTGGTAGAATTAGTAGCAGAAAACCGACCACTGACCACCGACAGAAAGATCCTTCTTCGCGTCTGGTTTTGAATATTGAACTCATAGGTTTTCTTTGTTTCTTTCGCAACAAATAACACAGCAACACATCATCTTCTTCTTATTCTTCGAGTAACCTTTTTAGAAGCATTTTTGTACTCATTTTTCACAGAATATGTGCACGTATGTCTCAACAAAACAAAGAAAACAAACACTTTGCCGCATGTCTCGGTCGTCACCTCAAAAGTGTGTGGCGACAAGCTGCGATGTGTCCGTCTCCCGTCTCTGTCGCCTGCCTCGGTCGCTTGTCTCTGTCGCGTGCAGCCAAATTGTACCTTTAGTAGCGTTGTGATCAGCGATGCAACACGGAATTATGTAATGTAAATAGACGTTTCTTCCTGGCGTAGTCGTTGTTGTCAGCCAGCCGCTACATGCCACAGCAAAAGTAATGATGGTCTAGACAAGTGAAGGTCGTATGCTACTTGTACAAGGAAATTTTATACAACGCGGTTTTAAAGCGATATCTTGTTGGTGTCCTTCGTTACCGGGTACATCCGTTCTTGAAGTTTCCTTTGTAATCTCTTCAAGGTATTTTCTTGCGTAATTTGTAGCAATCAAATGCACGAAAACAACATGACTAAACTATCGAAAAGTATTCTGTACGTAGGTAATGTCAAAGCTGTTCGGTTTCTTGTGAACAGAGTAATGAGCTTTCGGGTTCCATAAGAGGCGGGACAATTCTTGATTACCTGATCAACTGTTGGTTTCTTGAGGACTCCGCTTCGTGGAGTCAATTAAAATCGAACTGCTATTAAAATAGCTGGAAAAATTTATTCTTGAACACGATCTAAAGCTTACATTAAGGTTATGTGATTATTTACGTATTAAACATTATAAATAATTAATTTATTCAGTTAATTACTTATTAGAGTCTCTGTAATTACATTTTTACTGTCGTGTCCTATCAAAATCTTATTACATTTAACTAATGACACAGTCCAGACCACAGGATCAAATAATGTCGTTTATCCAGAAGGATGCTGGAATTTTACAAGCCTGCCTTAGAGACAATTAAAAGCAGGAAGTTCTAGGAATAAATTACGAAGTCTGATTTCCTTCAAACACTTCAGTCCATATACGAAACAATCAGAAACTCTGTATTTATCAGTAAAAAACTGGGAGAATAATTTCATTAGATGCTTTTTATTAGTAAGTATTTTTAGTTACATCATTAGTTTTACACTTTTATCAAGTCTGTAGTTCCTAACATATAAAAAACTTTAAACGCCATATTTGTGTGTAGGTATGTTCATTATCTTTATCTGGGTAAAATTTCTGATTGTTGTCATAAATCTGAATGCTAATTACACTGCATGTCTCACTTGGCCGCTGTATTGTTGTGTTACATTCTAGAAGAAAGAAATTTTTACATGCCAAATTGTTGGACTTTGTCTTAAGTGGTCCTAGCGTAATTCCTCAGGTGGGAAATTAAGGATTGTGTAGATTTGGCAGTATCTAGACGTGTGGTATTTGTAATGAGGTTTGGGGAAGTCTGGCATGTTACTAAAGGAGAGTTTATCTTTCCTTACGAAATATCGAAAGTAGTTTACAACACATTGTCTGGAAAAAAAGCCAGCCATATCCGCAAGAATGACCTTCAGTACGTAAGTTAATGTTTAAAAAATAACAACTAGTGCTTACAGATTTACCTACCTCTCACACTTCTCTGTTGAGTAGGTCACAGAAGACTGAATGCAGTATGGCCGAGTGCGAATTTATATATTTTGTTCGTGGCGTCACATTCAGCGCCCACATTTAAAAAAAAAATATGCACCATCATTTCCGAACAAAAGGAAAACTTAGAAAACATGACATGTCTTGAATGATGATTCATTGCTGGAGAATGTATTAGTTGAATGCATTTAGCGCCGTCAAACACATAAAACACTTCACATTCTCATGACTACTAAGCAACAAATCAACTGCATGGGGCAGAATGGCCTCTTACCCGAGAAATTCCCCGCCTTTGATGCATTTCCAAGGTTCATTACCGTGCTCACAAGAGCCTACATCCGGTCGCTATCCTGATACGGCGAGCCTAATTATGTTTCCATAAGATTGAATTTAATATCATCCTCAAACTTACGCAGGCGCCTTCCGAGTGGTATTTTCCCTTTAAGTCTTGCATATTTTTTTTAATTACCCTCATTCGTGCTACATGATCCACAAATCTAATCTTCCTTGATTTGATCTTCCTAATAATATTTCGTGAATGTACAAGCTATTGAATTTCTCGTTTTGAAATTTTCTCCGCCTTCCTATCAATTCACCCGTCTTCTGAGATGTTGCGTCATGTAGCCTGGTAGATGCTGACCAGCGTTTCGGAGGTGCTTGGTGTTAATGTGTTTCTGGGGTAAATGTATTCCGAAATACGTGGCGGATACACAAGGCATACTCGTAGGGCGTTCATAATTCTGTTTCTCTGAACAGAATCCCCCCAAAATAAACGTATTAACATATCTGATATCGAGCAAGTGCGCGAGTATACATCTTAGAATCTTCCATCTACAAATATCATCACAACCAAGTATTAAAAAGGTAAAGTTTACGTTGTCTCTGTTCCTATGCATCATTCCTTGAAGAATAATAGCGGGAGTGGAGGTAAAGCTCCATAAATTTTTATCCTCGTCATTAAATGGAAGAAAATGGTCAGTTTCACGCTCAGGCCTCCTTATTCTCGGGGATAGATCCCCGTTACCCGTTGGATGGGAAGTTTTTTGGGGACCAAGTACTGGTCCCTATGTGATGGCAAATAATTCGTATATTAAGCATATTTTAAAATCGCAGTCTTGCGCAATATTACATTTTATCTTCAGTGGACGAAGACTTTATCGATGTTACGAAATTCGGATGGTGACGTTCAGTTTTTCTAAAAAAAAAAAAATTCCAACTTCTCGTTAAGGTTGTCGTGTTGCATTAGCGTCTTCAAAACACTTGATATTTACTATTTGCAAGTCACTGCAGAAGTATTATACGTACTTCTATCTTTTGACCGATGCTTCTACAGTGTGGAGTATAAACTTGAGACTTCACAAACAAATGCAGATAGAGATAATAAAAATGTGATTTTTAACAGACATCGTGTCCTTAAATTGTCTGTAAGTTAAGACAGATGATTTTAAATTCTCATGATTGGTGTTTATCAGGGTTCTTCCGAAAAGTTGATAACCAACTTCAAGGTTACACAGCGTCACAATCCACTTTAACTTCGCAATTGTTTGATGAAATAAGGGAGTGACTACTTGTTTGACACAAACAATTTCATTTTTATCCTACAGGGTTGTCTGAATAGGGCCATGAACTTTATATCTCAATAAAATACGAGGAATATGTTGATTGGCTGAACGTACTCTCAGCTCTTCAAGAAAGATTCTGCTTAGCGGCGTCAACGAATTTATTTGAAAGTAAAACGTTAAGTTTGCTTGTTGAAAATATAGAAATTGATGTGTATGAATGCATCTCATTCACAAGGCGACATCTGTTCGGGTCTTCACAATTGTATGATTGATTGTGCTTGTGTAGATAATTAGCACATGTTAAGTCAAGGAGACTAATTATCATAAGTATGTGTGAGTGCATTACTGAAGCACCTACACAGTGGATACATGAGGAAGCTATATTAGTGTGTAGAATGCAGTTAAAACAACTAAGTATCAAACTAAGGATATTAAGCATTTCTGTACTAGCGTCAATTTAAGAAACTTTGCATTGCTGTCTCCAATTCTTGTTTAATCGCATAAATTGTCCATTATTTCATTTCACCGTCACGTTTTCATCACTTAACCAGTTATGTTTATTGAACTGTTTTACTGGAGTCCGAAATGAACGTGTTTCGACTGTCTGTCAGCCGTCAAAAGATGCACTGACATGAGTTGGCAAAACTTTATTAATATTCGTAAATGCAAGAAGATAATAATTATTAGAAAATAAAATGTGTATAAAAATCTTTAGCAGTGATACGTATATTTGTTATATAGTAGAAATAAATAAATTTTTATCGTTCTGTTCGTCTAGATGAAATTATGGTTCTGGACGTTACGGAATTGCAGGAACTTTTCAAGCAATCTTTTCAAATTTCCCTCCACCAGTACACATATCAGCGTTAAAAAATTCCTGTATATTATATAGCTTTATTAAAACATACATTGATTACTTTTGTATAAATGTTGTGTTTACAATAATAACTCAATTTATGTGTATTAAAAATCTCCTGCAATGCAAATAACACGCCGTCTGGATATACTTGCAAATACTGCATGAAAGCAATCCAGTCCAGTCCAGTCCACCACAATCTGGCCCATACCTAGAATATGCATTTTAGTGATGACGTGATATTTCTTTTTAATATTCCGACGAATTTGTCTGTAGACATGTTGACCGGTGAGAGGGACTTGTCGATCCCTTGATGCAATATATTAATTAATTAAAATAGCTTAAAATATAGATCAGATTTATCACTCCACAGAATTTATACTTTGGCAGTGCTCGTTAACTAATCTCTCCACTTGGTTTGATTATCAGCTCGTGAACCTGGAAACACAAGTGAAATAGAATATTACGTTTTTCTAGTAACAATATAGCATGGTAATACTACACTGCACAATATTATTCCTCTCCTGTTTTACGGTGTCAGATTGGTTTCTTAATCTAAGGGCGGCAAATGGGTTGAAAGTATTTGAAAATTAAATATTTATACTTTATAATTGTGAACGAAAGGTGGGGGATGTGAAATTAAGTCCTATTAAAATGGAAAAGAGATGGAAAAATTGGACGTAAAACTGAGAAACTCCGAAAGGCAAAACATTTTTGCAAGGACTGAGAAATAGTGTAAATATGTATAAATTACTAAAGTATTAGATAGAAATATGTGATTTTACTGAAATACTAACGAGTTTAAAGCAGAAAGGAGGGTGGTTTGTGGGAAGATAAAAAATAAATTAGAGCCTTTTGTCTCCTAACAAAATAAATAAATTCTTATAGCGGAGACGTCATACCTGAACGTGTGGAGGGGTTCCCAGCACGTACAACACGGCTTCAGCGACGTCCTTTGCCTCAAGGTGAGCATAATTACGATAAACGGATTCGGAACAAATAGCATTTCGTGATACGTCAAGTATCTCTGTCTTCACCAGGCCTGGGCTAATGCTCTGCAGACATAGTTAATACCAAAATGATGTTAAATGGTTTATGCTGCTCTCAAAAACACTGGTATGACGAAATAGTATACGTTTATAAAATGGCGGCTCAGGAGTCTACGTCTTCATACCCAATTTCTTTAAAGTAAATTTTAATATTGACTTCCCATGTGCCCCTAGGTCTTCACGTAATATTTTCACTCCAGGTTTCCCTACTAAGATTTTGTGTGCATTGCTCGTCTCCTCCACGAGCGCCCTTTTCCCGGCATTCTTATAGTCTTTGAATGTTTCGTCCTAATAATAACTGATGAATTTCTGAACTCAAATGACGGGATTTATTTGTTCATAAATTTACAATAGTGTGAAAAACGGGATCAAAAAGGAATGTTCATCAGCCCAACGTTGTACGCAATAGTGTGAAAAACGGTATCAAAGAGGAATGTTCATCAGCCCAACGTTGTACTGACTGGTTGATATTTACTATATAAAGATAGGACTATATAAAATATTAAAAACAAAGTTATTGTAAATTTCGACACAGTAATGAAACGTATCTTATTTTGTCTACGTAGCCGGCCTGATGTTCAATGCATTTGGTCCAAGGGTTCACAAATTTTATAATCAGAACAAAGCGTTAAACAATTCTTGCAGGACGTCTTTTTATGACGATCTTATTTCAAATGTAGTTTCAACAATACTGATTCTTCGGTTGTCTTGGTTATATAATTGTTGTTATCCTTAATCTCAACACATGATCGCCCACAATGTGCATCATCTAGAACTCTTTCCTTTCTAATTTTCATCAATTCCGTAACTTGTGTGGATGATACACAACTCAAAAGAACGTGTTATTATGCGACCTCGTCATTGAATTTATTAACTTGATAACCTCTGATATTTTTTTGGGTTTTAACAAAAGAATACTCACAGTGACCCTTATGTTTGAGTTCTGTTCAACCAGCTCACGACGAAGTCCTTCCGTTAATATTGTAACTGCATTCTTTGACGCAGCGTACATGTAGATGGGAAAAATGGTAGGAGGCATTGTGTGACCTGAAACACTGTGTTAACAGATTAGTTTGAGTTCTTTGACTTCAGCTGAGTTTTATTCAGGTGTAATGAAAATTTACCTCACTTTTTAATAGTTCAGATGGCATGTACTCATAAGAGACCTGCGTTAGATCATGAAGTGATGTGAAAAGTAAGAAGAGGGATTTCTTTCTAGGTTTGTTGCGTCCTTATCATGTAACTGCTTAGAGGTTAGGTAAAGTTTCTTAAGTTTGTCCGACTTAAATATCAGGCTGACTTGCATACGATGTAACCCATTTTCTCAAAAGAGGCGGTATCTGTCTTGTCTCCATTTTTAGCTTTTCTGAAAAACTTTATCTACCTACGAGTCAGCACGGCGTAGCATCCCAGAAGAACATTGTTTACTTAACTTTGGTTTCATAAGAATTAATGCAGCTTGTTGCTAAATGACTAGTCTACTTGAGTCAAGAATATCGCACTCAATCATTGTTATTTCGACAGTCTACTTACGTGCCGAGGGCTTCGGGATTTCGTAAATCCCATCGACACTCATCTGGCCCATAACGTGAGACAGAAATGTTGAAACACATGGGTCAGAAAGTGTTGGTCAGTCCTACCAACCTGTTCATGTGAATAATATGTCCGTCATTAACTGATCGTTCCTGCATGGACTGGATAGCTTCTTTAGTGCAGACGCTCAGTGCTAACACATTCAGTTCCAAGATACTTCTCCAGCTGTCCACCGGACCCCCTGCAATACTCTCTAAATTAGCTCTTTAAAGTCTAATGGTAACTATATGTACCATCTGATTTAACAGTCAGTAACTATGCATCATGAATTTATGGAATTTTGTATGATTTTCACATTCACATGGATTACTTCCTTTAACGACATTCACAGCTTGAGCTTTATAATAGTGAAGTGTAGTGTTTTCTTTGAGGTAAGGACTGAATTATGGCTTCGAAGGGTTAAACATACGCTCAGATTACTTAATTTTGTGTAACATAGACTGATGTCTATGGTTACTTACTCATTAAACTGTTCTCGCTAGCAACTCCAGCGTTGTTAACCAATATGTCCACTCCACCTAAGTTGGATTTGATCCATTTGAAGGCATCCTTAATATCTGTTTCTCTTATGATGTCACATTTTAACGGGAATAATTTTCCTGATTCGGAAGAGAGAGCTGCTGATAACTCCTGAAAACAAAATTCATTTTCTTAATGCAGTGTATTAATATTATGCAAATAAAGAGAGCCGATGTTGCATTACCCCTAAGTAAACTGAACAGGTGATATTTTTAAACGCTTGATACACCGTCATAACACTAATTAGTGTAAGGATGTTGAAGTATAACTAAATACATTTCAATATAATTTCAATACGTTTTTTAGACTTGTATTAAGTAGTGTACTTCATGAACTAGAAGATGGGCCCCATTTAAAGATAAACTTATTCGAGTTATGTTTCTTTGTTGTAAGAAAACCGATACTATTAGAAATCAACCAAGAAAACGATAGTCTATGTACATCAAGTACGCAAAGCGAAACAGCTTATCTTTAAGTAAATTGGTTGCACCACGTGGACAGAATAGCGACGAATTGTTTGTTTTAAAAAGGGGTTTATCGAGACAAATCCCACGAAACTGTCAGTTCTGATTTTAATCACAACAGTAGAAATTTAATGATTTTAAGTGAGATGAATTTGGAATACAGGCGTTAGTATGTTCAGCAAATACACACCTCAACTCTGTCCACTCTGCGCGCCAGTCCGACCACTTTGAGCCCTTTCTTGACGAGTTCCTGGGCGATGGCCGCTCCTATCCCAGCACTGGCTCCTGTTACCACGGCAACACGACCTGACCAACGCTCCATTGTTGTGTCTCACTTCTAGAAGAAAGATTCGTTTGCCAGTCGTATGCTGCAGGTTTAAAATCTTTGACCATTTAAGTGTTCACGATTTTCAGAATACTTAACTCCAAAATCTCGTCGTGTCATAACGATTTAACACGTTCACTTCCTGTCACATTTTACCGACGTTTTTATTTTATACCATGATCAAATATCGATGTAATCACTCATTTATTTGATTCTTTAATAAAGTAATGTTTCAGTTGTAGTTGAATTTCTTAGAAGATCCACCTTTTCTCTTACATTTGATATCCCACGTATATCACCGTCTGATTTCTCATTACTATAGTTAAGCTGGTTTAATGGAATGTCATGTTACCACTGTATTTTCCAGATTCAAACAGGTTTCCCATTTCGGACACGTTTAGACTAATAACATCGCATACTACATAGGCTTACCACATGCACTATATTTCCACCATGACAAGCGAGTCATCCTACGCTGTTACTTGGCATTATGAATTTTCAGTTTCCCTCTCGTTTAATTTTGTATTAACCGTGACTAGACGGTCTTGACGACCGGAGTTTGATTTCCGGTAGGGCAGAATTTTTCTCTTTGCCACATATTCCAGACTGGCTCCGGGGTCCACTCGGCCTTCCATCCGTTGGGTACTCGGTTTTTTTCTTCGGGGGTAAAACAGTCAGAGTATGAGGTTGTATGACGCAGAGGTTAAGAATGCGTGGGAGCTGTACCTCCACTCCCCATACATGGCGTGGTGCTTATTAAGCGCAATGGACAACTTTACCTTTTGCCATTAATTATTCTGGACAGATTTTATGGGATACTGGGATACTGGGAATGACCCGTTCTTCAAGTGCCTGAGCACTTCGTTGGTTTCATCTATAGACATTCGGTAAGACTCCTTGGACGAGGGATCGGCCCGTCGCAAGGCCTCTACCTGTACACAGGACAGCACGACACAAAAAAAGGGGACAAACATCCATGGCTTGAGTGGGATTCGAACCCACGGTCCCGGCGACCAATCGACACAAGGCCCACGCCTCAGACCGCGCGGTCACTGTGGACCCCGGTTTTATGGACAGCTGTAATTAATTCCTTCCCAACTGTGATAATGAGTGTTGTTTATTAAATACAGGTTGTTCCAAAAATATGGTGGTCACTTGTCAGTTAGTTGCTCACCTCTGTCAACCGTACCACGAAGCTAACAGTGAAATTAAATCGTATACTGCAAGATTATTCAGTGACTAATAGCTTACCAATAACTGATTTTGTTAAAGAAAATTGTTTACTAATTTGTAAAACCTTTTGTAAAAGTATGCCTAATTTATCAGCATTTTTAGCAAGTTGCTGTGGTGTTTCCAAAAATTGTTTCATGTGTACTTACGATAATTAAGGGTGGATGTGGTCCCAGGTATTAAATGACTGAGAAACACCAGTGTTCTGTAATTGGCTTTGTAAATTGCAAGAGATTGAAGGTCAAGGCGAACGAGATACGCCAAATAACAAAGAGATTACTTGGTAAGCAGCCCCACAGGCCTATAATCCACCCATTACCCTACTGTTTGCGTAGTTTTAAAGCGCTTTTAGCTCCTACCTTTTCTGGCTGAAGATGTGAAGTGAACTCACTCGTCTTTCTAGCGTTCTTCCTCACAACTGAGCTCTGATGTCGGTCACCAATAATAATCTTGTTATTAAAGTGGATCAGTCAGGTGGTCAGTTGTACCAGTAATGATGTTACCAGAACACTTTTTATAGCAACTTTCTTTAAACCAATGTATGATTTAAATTGTTGTTAAAAGTGGAGCAGTGAGATAATAAAATATATACATCCGTGTTCAACGGTAGACACATCATTAGTAAGATTTTCTTAATAACTTTCTTAACCTTTTGAAGACCGAAGGTTTTCTAGGTAATATCTGAAAAACTACTTGTGTAGAACACTTAACTGAACAATCAGAATAAATAAACAATAAACGATGTCATCAGTTTATATTTGATTACGTTTACAATTATATTTACAATAAAGTGATGTATGATATTCAAAATACATTATAACAGATTTTTCCTTTAAACGTAATACACTTCAGGACGAAACTCATTAGATGATTTCACCAACTGGTCTTATCATCAGTTCATGGATCTGAAAGGAATATAAGTGATTAGAACAAGTAAATATTTTTATGGAAGAAAGTGTCTTGAAAGGCTATTAGTCTCTTAAAAATATAAATTCCTCTTCTTTTATGAAACCCGAATTTTCATTACCGTGTTTGCAAGAGTCCGCCATTGAACGCCGTCCTGAACAAGGTGAATTTATTTTGATTTCTCTCAATTTATTTCTTGCAATCCGTTCAATTTGTCAGCGTTATGTTAATTAGTTACGTACTTGAATACGGTAGTAAAGGAAACTAAAAAATGTGTACAGACCTGCGTTTAAGTGAATGCCTTAGACAATGCACAATGTTCAATCTGATTTCTGATATTTTGATGCCGTATTGTTACTCAGTACGAACCTGGACATGTGAAGGTGTTCCAAGTACATACAGCACCCCGTCTGCAATATCCTTAGCTTCCAGGTAAGCATGTTTGTCCATAAATTCCTTAGGTGGCATCTCCGTATTAACTAAACCAGGGCTCACACTCTGAAATAACAAAAGTCAGTTGCAAATGTTATATACCTTCGATGTCTAGTGTCAACGGAAATGTCCCGGAATTTGGGGAGGGCACCGCAGTATGGCAGCTTGATTATACTTCCATATTTCTAAACTACAATATTAGTAAATACTTTAAATAAATAATTTTCAGAGAGTGATATGAAATAAAATATATATTTCAGTCTCATATTCAATGTGTAAAATTCAGAATACGCAAAGAAGAAATATCATGACGTAAAACGAAAATATACAAATTTCAATTTATTTCTTCGGCCACACCAACTTTCAACGAATGCAATATGTCAAGTCTTTGAAAAATATTAAAAAAATTGTATCTAAAGGCATTCATCCTCATTGGTGCCCCATAATTTGGGCATCCTTGGTTTGTTACTGAGTACTTTGTACGTATGTTATACTTACAGTGACCCTTATTTTTGAGTTCTGCTTCACCAGTTCACGACGAAGCCCCTCAGTCAGCGCCGTGACGGCGTGCTTTGACGCAGAATACACGGAAAACGCGTCGATAAGATAGTGGCCGAGGATACTGAAAAATATCTTTAGTTTTTGAAGGTGTGTACATCGATATTATTTCGCACATAAAATTCAGGAAACAATTACATTTACAACTGCATAAGGCAAGGTATAATTCAATTTCAATGTTTACAGATCATACGTGGAATATTACCTGTTGATATGTATGATGTGCCCGTCGTCCACACCTCGCTCTTTCATGGACTGGATGGCCAACTTAGTGCACACACTGAGAGCCAGAACGTTAAGTTCCATTATACCTCTCCAAGCTTCTTGTGGCCCATCTTAAGAAAAAAAAAGTTACAAGCCACTGTAAGTTCCATAATAGCCATAACATAGGAAAACCCACTCTATGTTAAGCATATAAAGTTCCAAACACATGGGCCTATAATAAACAGTGTTTACGTTAAAGATAACACACTGATGTCGAAAGTTATGGTCAAATACTGACGACATTTGAAAGGTGTGTTTTCTGGTTTCTGGAAATCATTTTGTCTCCAGAAACGTCTTTCCAAAAAAAAAAAAAAAATGTACGCGGACCGTGCTAGTAACCCCGGGTGTGAGGTCCTTGAGTACGTGCATACACTTTTCTAGACACTGCAGCTTTATAAGAAATGTTTACTCGGGTCGTCCGTTGATAGCTGTTCCATCCCCTGACTTCATGACTCCATAGTTTTACGTCCTTAATTGATTAATCATCATCAACTACTACAAGGATTCGGCCTATTGACCCGTTCTGAGACAGCTGTTCAAGGCATCTTGTCCTTATAAGTCTTGTAGGGTGCGTTTATCGATTAATATGGTTTGAAATTAGAAATCACTCCATGTACTGTTCTGTATTACCAATCAGATTCGTTTCAGGAGCCATTGCTGCATTGTTGATTAGGATGTCCACTCCCTGGAGGTTCGTGTTCACCCAGTCGAACGCAGCCTTCAGTTCACTTTCCTTAGTAATGTCACATTTAATCGGGTACAGTTTTCCTGCTTCGGATTTAAGGGATGATGCTAGTTCCTGTCGAACAAATATTAAAAAGGTTACCTGTTACAACAGAATTCGTATTTTAGATCATAATTTATTTTCTTTCTCAAAATATTCAGCGTAGTGTGTTTGAGTGTGAAGCATAAGAAGACACGATCGTTATAGAGCTGTAACTTAGAAATCATTATAAATAACGTAGTGAATAGATTCGATTTTCCTTCTTATTTCAGTGTTTAGTATTTTTGTATTATCATTCTCATACCTCAACCCTCTCCACTCTGCGCGCAAGTCCGACCACTTTGAGCCCTTTCTTGACGAGTTCCTGGGCGATGGCCGCTCCTATCCCAGAACTGGCTCCTGTCACCACGGCAACACGACCTGCCCAACGCTCCATTGTTGTCTTAGCAGTTTCTAAATATTACAGTTTTCAGCTTCAGAAAGGTTTCCTTTTTAACAGTGTACACATTTTTGGAGTTACCCTCATACACTATTTCTGAAAGAGCACTTATTATTTATGTTGTTTGAAGCTGTCGGTCTCCGCATCCCTGCTCGGAATCTGAGGGATTTTTCTATGTTCAGTTTTAGCCCTTTGATCAAAAAGAGTCCTTCTGCCAGATCCGCATCAGCTGCTAATGTCGTCAGCAGGGACTTGGACATTTCGAGACGAAAATTGTTACACTGCATCACATTCTATAATAGTCTAATTTACTTAAGTTATTTAAATTATTATTACAGATGTACTAACGTATTTAGTATCAATCTTTTTTGTATTAATGTCCTCTGTACTAATATATTATTATATTCCGTTTCTTATTACCTTTCTATATTTATTATTGTGTTCTTGTGCTGTATCTTTAATTGGAATCCTGGCTGTTGATACAACACACTTATAATAAATAATTGAATTTTATTGAATTAAATTAAGAATGATATGCGTTATGCAAGGTCTACAAATCCAGTAATACAGATTATAATATGCCATTATCAGCTACCTTTAGCATTAATTGCTTCTAGACTAAGAATATTTAATAGCGCACGTGACTTAAACTGTTGTGTACCTGTAATCAAAATCACAACCGGAATTTCATGGCATATGGGCCAAGAAACATTATGCAACTAACTAAGCAATGCACGAAATGAGGTCATTTTCCTTCTTTCTTTCTTCATTCCTTCCGTGAACTGAAGGACCTTGCACGTATTTGTATAAATTGGTTTGAAAAACATGTGAAATTATTCTGTGTATTTTGTTAAAGCTAGTACAGGGAACTGTACAATTACACTTATAATAAATAATTGAATTGTATTGAATTAAATTAAGAATTATATGCATTATGCAAGGTCTCGAAATCCTGTAATACAGATTGTAATATGCCATTATCAGCTACCTTTAGCATTAATTGCTTCTAGACTAAGAATATTTAATAGCGCACATGACATAAACTGTTGTGTACCTGTAATCAAAATCACAACCGGAATTTCATGGCATATAGGCCAAGAAACATTATGCAACTAACTAAGCAATGCACGAAATGAGGTCATTTTCCTTCTTTCTTTCTTCATTCCTTCCGTGAACTGAAGGACCTTGCACGTATTTGTATAAATTGGTTTGAAAAACATGTGAAATTATTCTGTGTATTTTGTTAAAGCTAGTACAGGGAACTGTACAATTACGGATTGTCACCCATATTGTAAAACACTGAAGATGTCCCAAGTGGATCGAAACGCATCTGCTAAACAATACGGTAACTGTGAAAAGCGTTGATCGCATGATCTGAAGACACACTATAACAAATGACAAAACTCACTTAGTGTCGAATACTTTCACACGACTCAGTGATTTAATGCGACTAATTAACTAACTTCGTAATTCCATGGAGCAGAGTCCTTCTTGAGAACCTGATAATCGCTGAGGCTTCTTAAGGAAATTGCCGTCTGTTATGGAACCAGAAGGTTCATTACCGTGATCACAAGAGTCCGCCAGCAGTCCCTATCCTGATCCATATGAATCCATCCCACAACCTTCAACCCTTCAAGCTTTCCAACCAAAACTGTGTACGCGTGTACAGTATCCCATCTCATACCGGTTTACTTGATCATTGGAGTCTATCTGTTCCACTGCAAACAACTGAGTGTTTAATTGGTTAATATTTCGAAAATAAATTCCTGTTCTACTTACTTCTTTCTGTGCGGTAGAGAAGATGACGCTACAAACGCAGGTCTCGCAATGAAACTGCTGCAGGTATTTGATAACAATATCCACAGACATGCGCCTCAGATCATTTTCGATGCAATTACTCACTGTCTGGTTTGTTTTTCTTCAGATTACAGTATCTTGTCAGATAAATAAAGTAATCTCATTGCTGTTACGGCATGTAGATGTGATCTCAGTATTTGTACGGTCATCTTAGATAATTCGGCTTCAGCGAAGTCAAGGTCAGAACCGTTTTGACTCACGCCATTAAACAAAACCTCTTAAAAGTAGCAGCTACAAAATTCCATGCTTCAAGAACACGGAAGACCTTCACCCGTCCTTTCCGCTCTGATGTGTTATTCTGCAACATTATAATTTAATCAGGTATGAAATTTTAAACGAAACTGAGGGTGGATGAAGCCCAGTTCGAATCCGCGCAGAGTACGAGCTACTTTCTATACACATATTCATTTCTTTGTGCTGAATGTAAAATATGCGCTTCCCGAATAAAGCCTCTGGAATTCCTCTAAGCTAGAAATAACTTCCCAGGAACAATAAGGAGGCACTTTTGTCAAGTGTCCTTACTTCAGAACCACGTCGGAGTCCGTTCATTAATTCAGTCACACTCCAGTGTTTACAGACTTCCTTTGTACGTTATTTCTAGCTTAGGGGAATTCCAGAGGCTTTATTCGGGAAGCGCATATTTCACATTCAGCACAAATAAATGAATATGTGTATAGAAATTTTGAACGGCCCTTCGGGGTGAAAATCTGTATTGTTTAGAAATGACGATGCTCATCGTGCTTTTGGAACTGACCAAGTGGACATCCTCTTAAACGGCTCTGGTGTGTCGTATGACCCCTCTTTTGCTAGTAAGTAACCATAACAATTGTCAGTTCATCTAATTTCCTACCGAAGAAAAAAGCAGATTGATTCGGTTTCAGACGGGCAATCATATAAAATGTGTAGTCATTTTTAAAAACGACTTCAATACTAAGAATTTGTAAGAGTTCTCAAAAAGAATACAGGACCGTTCAGTGAAAAATATTTGAATCGGTGTCATAAAAGTAGGTGTGAGTTAGACTAGGGACTTATCGATCACTATAGACCGCGTCGAGATGAAATGAAACACCAGGTAGTATCTATACAGCACTTGACAGACAGGATAAGGTAAATGAACACCATTTAGTTTTTTTTTCTTTATTACTACAACATTCTGTACATTTTTGCTCCACGATTACGTACAAGTTTCCAAAAATTGTACATTTCTTAATAGACACTTTAATATGCAGTTACTCTGGATGAAGCGTATTCCTATTGTCAGAAAACGGCTTATCATAATTGTATTAAATTAGAAAGTCAGCTGTTATTGCAAATTCTAAATTAATTACGTCCGACTGTTCAGCACAGGTGCATTCTCACACAGCAAATTTATGCGGTGTAACATTAATTGCTTCTAGACTAAGAATATTTAATAGCGCACATGACATAAACTGTTGTGTACCTGTAATCAAAATCACAACCGGAATTTCATGGCATATAGGCCAAGAAACATTATGCAACTAACTAAGCAATGCACGAAATGAGGTCATTTTCCTTCTTTCTTTCTTCATTCCTTCCGTGAACTGAAGGACCTTGCACGTATTTGTATAAATTGGTTTGAAAAACATGTGAAATTATTCTGTGTATTTTGTTAAAGCTAGTACAGGGAACTGTACAATTACGGATTGTCACCCATATTGTAAAACACTGAAGATGTCCCAAGTGGATCGAAACGCATCTGCTAAACAATACGGTAACTGTGAAAAGCGTTGATCGCATGATCTGAAGACACACTATAACAAATGACAAAACTCACTTAGTGTCGAATACTTTCACACGACTCAGTGATTTAATGCGACTAATTAACTAACTTCGTAATTCCATGGAGCAGAGTCCTTCTTGAGAACCTGATAATCGCTGAGGCTTCTTAAGGAAATTGCCGTCTGTTATGGAACCAGAAGGTTCATTACCGTGATCACAAGAGTCCGCCAGCAGTCCCTATCCTGATCCATATGAATCCATCCCACAACCTTCAACCCTTCAAGCTTTCCAACCAAAACTGTGTACGCGTGTACAGTATCCCATCTCATACCGGTTTACTTGATCATTGGAGTCTATCTGTTCCACTGCAAATAACTGAGTGTTTAATTGCTTAATATTTCGAAAATAAATTCCTGTTCTACTTACTTCTTTCTGTGCGGTAGAGAAGATGACGCTACAAACGCAGGTCTCGCAATGAAACTGCTGCAGGT